ATTCCCTTTTTTAAAATGGTTTGACTTTTGCATCATTCGAGAGCTTTCCTCTCACGAGATGGTGGTGTTCAAGACAGACATCTTTGACCGCGCTTTCAAGACCTCGCCTCTTCTCCCTCCTCTCACCAGAGCTCAGGTTCTCAGCCGAGTGCGGAAACACTTTGAGGCATCCTCCTGACGTGAAAGGTGCTATGTAAACGACTACTGTTCACAGTGTTCTATTCATAAGATACTGTAGTTCTCAGTAAAGCTGAGATCACTCTCCCTACACTGCTACTGACCAACCTTCAGTTCCCCAGGTAACCTATTTCTCTTGCCTTCGTATTGATTCATTGAATTGGGTGTTGTCCATGCTCATCATTAATATGGTTCAATTACCAATGCACGAGTGACACTTAGGACAAGGTAGAACACCGGTTGCTTGAGGCTACCAGTCAGAGTTGAGGCTAATTTCTTAATGTATTTAGAACACCCTATTTGTTTGTTCTTCCTTCCTCCTACCTCCCCGCCGTCACACACACAGCCTACGCAACCAGCTGTGACAGTAGGAAAACCGAGGTTCTTTTTGTTCTGAAGTTGCTCCCTGTGGTTGCTAGGGTGTGTGGTGAGTGAAATGGCAGGACTGAGTGGTGGAGGTGAGCGGTTAAGTATTGCATGAAAGGCTGGGTTGGCTGTCAGCCTCCCTGCATGGATTAATGGATTTGCACCTGTTCTCCTGGTGAAAATTTTTGCATTCAACAAGGTAATTATAAAATTGTGTTCCTTTTAAACTTACCTGCTCAGAAACTCTTTTGATCCATTACAAAGACATCACCATCTTTTGCATCATCCCTTCCTCCTCTGTCTAATCATCGAATTGGCTGCCGCATTTCGCCCACAAATAGTCAATTCACTTTACAGTACATTCTGTGAAGTGCTTGAGATACCTTGAAAACATGAAAAGCGCTACATCAAATGCAAGGATTATTATTATCCAACTTCCAGTTTCCTCAGCATCTCTCTCCCATGAATAAGCTAACCTTGTACACTAGTGTTTGTTCTAATGATCCCCACCACCCTATAATTATTCATGTCAGGATGGCTCAAAGTGACTGTAGCGACTGTGTAATTTTGTGCATGGTAGAGTCCTACAGCCATGAGATGAATAACTGATTTTATCAGGGAAGGACAAACTCTTTCCTTTTCAAATAGCGCCAGGGGATCTTTAACGTCCACCTGGACAAACCTTTTTATGGGCTAAGGAAATGAAGATATATGTCTGGAGGGTGAAATTCCAGTTGCCATTCTGTGTAGCCACTTTGACAATGTGATTTTATAACGGGGGGGTTCACGTTTAAAGTTGAAAAGATGGTATTGGGTTCAATTTTGATGTTTTTCACGGTCAAATAACCTGCCTAACCTTGGAAAGAATGGCCCCTTGGGTGAGACAGGGGGAGGATAGCCAGTGTGAATCACTCAGATCAAGATGAAGTTTTCTTGTTGCTTTTTCTGATTTTATTGACAATCACGCCAACCTGTGACCTGCCACGTACAGGTTATGAAATCTTAATAGATGGGAATATCTGAGTTCATAAATGGTTGGCCAACGTCCTGGGTTGTGTTATAACAACATGTCTTGATAAAATATTAATTAATGCAACACAAATGGGCTTTGGACCTGTCTTAGTGAACATAAATGTCCAGATCCCAGTGAAATGACGCTTGTTCCTCCAAGGAATAGGTTGAATATGTTCTGCATTTAATGTGTATTCACAATGAGCTTCTGTGTAAGCAATACTACCTGCGCTGTACTTACAATATGAAATATGTCGTTCAGTTTGAGCTCTATATTCAATGATCAGTATTCTGCTGCAGGCAGCTCTAGTCGAGAGGGAATGAGACAGAGAGGAGTGTCTTTGGGGGAACCAGAAATTCTCAACGCTTTGCAATGTACTAAAATGGAGACAGAAACCCTAGCTTCATTTTAAACAGCACGTTCCTGCTCAATCCCCTCTGTGTAAACTGTCAGAGTACTGGCCAAAAAGTGAATGCTGACATCCGTTACTCTCAAAGTCAGCTGAGGCAATGGAAGGGTTGTTATTTGACTCACTCCATGCTTCACTTTCTCTCTGCCAATTTTTTGTTTCTTCTCTCCTGTAAACATTTTTTTCTCCTTTTCCTTCTCCGGTTTCACATTTGAAGTGAAATGGCTGCAGCCAAAACCCTCCAACAGGTAACTCGTTAGAAATGTCCACCCACTCTGCAAAATGGGTATCTTTGACAGTAGCTGGTTAAATCCATTACAACTATCAGATTATCGCTTGATAGAATATAATATTCTTGAATATGATGTAGCTCTTTAACACAGTGAACATTCTTCCTTCAGTTCCCACCCCTGCCATTTTCACATTCTACCGTGTTTGCCCACAAAACACACAGTAAATCCTATGAAACACTGTGAGACGCCCTCCCACTGTGAAAGGTGCCAATTCCAGTATTATTCCTCTATTCCATGGACTTCTCAAGTATAGTTGACATTTGAAAGAGCTGTTTATGAGACCTATTGTCAAGGTCAAAGAGATTTCTATTTCTCTTCTCTCCCCCTCCAACACCAGCGGTAGGTCTCAGCTGGCTGGTACCTGTGCAGATGGGAGAGCGCGTGAAATGTGCACTGAGCATACGTGATTGTTTTGCTAATCAGCTCAGCGTTGACTGGCTGGATTGGGTGATTCAGTGTTCTAAGCAAAGGCTTTTGCTAATGGACTAATTAAACATCCCTTCCTGTGGACCTTAGCTCTTAATGTTATAGCAACTTGTGGCCATGCACACCAGAAGGGAAATAATGACTTGTGATTCATATTCCAGGAGTGTAGGGTTCCCACTGTCTTGAATACTATGCTGCAGACGAGTTACAGATGCCTCCAATTTATCGAATAGTGATGTTAATCTATTCAAAAACGAAAAACAATAATAAATTGGTCATTTTCAATCTACGACTATTTGTGGGACATTGCTGTGCGCAATTGGCTGCCGCGTTCGCCCACAAATATAGTCAATTCACTTTACAATGTGTTCTGTGAAGCACTTTGGGACGTCCTCCCGAATAGTGCACCATTTGCACTATTTAATGGGCTACAAAAATCCACACATTGTCCTGCTGCTGTTCACTCAGGTAAAATTTGGAGAATAATGATGAACTTGGACTCTGTTAAAAGTCTATAATTGGTGGTTTCAAATAATGTCCTTCGTACGCCCTGAGATTAATTGGCTTGAATTAATTCCATGTTGGAAAAGTATTATTGTTATTCATCTGTAAAAAGGGTCAAAAGCATTGAGCAGGTTACACTGTGGATGGAAAGAGGTTGAGAAGTCCACAACTTGCATTTATATAGCGTCCTTCACGCTGGGTAGCGTCCTAGAGCACAAGTCTAGAGACTGTAATTGTTTTTTTCCATAATGGCTTCACTGCCAAGCAGTGGGTTGGATTTGGGCCAAGACTTCATGCTTAATCAACTTCTTCACCAGTTACAAGAATACCTCTTCCCTGTTGTCTGAAAGTAGCTGAGGGGAAAAGTAGGGTCAAATCATACTTGTTGACTGGGCTCAGAATAGTTTAGAAGTGATATAATTACAGCCAAGACCAGAGGTGAGTGAAAATCTCATGGCACTTAGTTGAATTACTGGTTCATCAGGGATGCAGGTCAGCTGGTCGAGGCTGTTTTGTTCAAGGTTGTTTATGATGGCGAAGGAGTGGGCATTAGTGGTGGCCTGAGGCGGAGCAGGCCTGTCATTAATGGTGAGCTTCAGTCACCAAGATCGGGTGTTAGATTTTATCTTTACAGACATTTGTGAAGGTTAGATAAGCTATGGAGATTAATAGGTCTCGGCTAGCGATAGGGTCACAACTTGGTCCTCGGTGAGGGAGTATGGGAATGATTCCTGCTCATTGAAAGTGACCTCCTGTCCCCCACAAGGCAGTGGTTGGTCCTCTGCCCCTTACTGAGTTCTGAGTTCCGGCACGCAGCATCACCACAAACACACCGGCCCTTTTTATTTCTTGACGTTTCTCTTCAAACCAGATACTGTACCAACAACCGTGCCTATTCTTGTTGCCTAAGCTAAACACTGCTGGTCGTCTCTGAATAACGGGGGTCTAAATTGACTGGAATTTGCTGCATACTTCCCTGATCCAGGAAATATAATTTTTGTAGAACTTGTTCACCTGCTCCAGGCAGACGAAGGTGAGCGCGATGCCCGGGCCCAGAGTGAACCCTTTCCAGAAGCTAAAGGACCCTTTGTATCGAATAACTCTCACAAGATTATCCGGTCCATTCTTGTACTCTGGTTTTACATCAATAGTTCACCAATACAAAATGGACTGTGCGAGTGAATAATTCAATTCAGCCTTGCTTATTAAGGTGTATCATGGCCCCTAACCTAATTTAATTAGATTCCTATCCAGCATGTGCCTAATTTGCAAAGCAGCCTATGATTAATTGCACTGGTTGCAGATGAGTGTGCTGTGGCCTTCAACACAGAGATTAAACACATTCTTTTAAAGGTTTACCCAATAATGTTTCTGTGAAGGAGTCTTTCACCTTCAAACTTTTTTTTGATGGTAACTGAAATGAACATCTGTCTTTTCAGGTTCCCACTATCTCCTGTCCTGCTCCTGTTGCAATCCAACAACTTGGATTTATATTTATAATTTATATAGCGCCCTTCACCCGGGCCACCATTTCAGAGTCCTTAGCAGTGGCGGAGTCTGATGCCAAGCCGGGGGGGGGCATGAAGGAGGTGATTGTAAGCACGGTCGAAGAGGAAGGTGATCTAAAATGACCTAAGTCGTGATCAAAAAGGGGAAGACGGGGGTGAGGCGGAGGGATTGGTGAGAGAGTTCCAAGTAATCTAGTTAGTTGGACGTTATGAAGAGTTTTTAGAGGGAGATGAAATTGTAATAAATCTATAAAGATTGAGTGCAACACTAATGGCATCTGAGACACTGTTTTCTTTTTCTCAAGCAGAGGCATGATGAAGAAGCTGTAGTGGACCAAGGCGGAACCAGCTCAATCCTCAACATTCACTATGAAAAAGAAGAATTAGAAGGTAATGGTTTATAATCTGTAAATCCTGACTCATCACACGTGTTATCCCTGAGCTCAGAAACCACACAGCTGCTAAAGAGATCATGTCTTCTCAAGCAGAGAGGCTCCCCTTGCATTGCAGCCAATTTCACAGACTTTTCCCTAACCCTAAAGTCTCTGTTGGTGCTTTTTTTTAACCATTTCCGCTGATCACCAGAATCTGTCAGAACTTTGAGCTGATGGTCTAGGCTGACGCTAATTTATCCACTCAGTGTCGCGTACCCCAATTCAGCCTAAAACTAATGAATGCACAGTTCTCTCTAATCTTTTTTTAATTCCCATCAAACAAACCCACGGTTTTAAAAATAGAATACTTTCACTGACTCATTAGCATTCCAAGAGACTCAATCACTTGAAGCGGCAAGAAGGGGCTGCATGTTCAAATATTAATTTCAACCTGTAATGCTCAGTTAGTTAGTTTCCCTATTTTCCCTCTCTCTTCCCACAACTCTGTCTAGGAACCTGAGTGAGTGATGTCCTGTTGATGCCATTTACTGCTTAACTTTCCCATAGAAGGTAAATGGCACTAACAGGATATGAGGATTGTTGGCCAGGATGTGCAGTAAGAAACTCAAATCTTTTTTAGAACAGTGCCATGGGATTGCACAGATGGAACCTCAGTTTAACATCTCAGCTGAAAGGCACATAAAAGTACATATTACTCTAGATAATGTTACTAAGTATTGACATTGACGTATGAAGAGCGCACATGGAGGTAACTATTACTAATAATAATCCTTGCATTTGATATAGTGCCTCATCATGTCTTCGAGACATCTCAAAGAACTTCACAGAGTATACTGTGAAGTGAATTGAGTGTATATTTTGTGGGCGAGGCTTGGCAGCCAATTGAGCACAGCAGCGTCCCACACACAGCCATGGATCAAGTGACCAAATTATTATTATTTTTAAATTTTTGTTTTTTGAAGGGATTATCAATCCCGGAAAGGTGATCTGCCAATCGACTAACAATCAGGTTCCTACTTACTGCTAGGTAAACAGAGGCATGTGGAGTGAGGAATGTTTCACACTGCCTGGGAATCAAACCTAGGTCCTCTCGCTTGCAAGGCGAGTTCTCTAACCACTAAGCTGCAGGACTCCTAAAACTAATGAATGCACAAATGGTGGTGAGCTGTGGATGATATTCCCATTGGCAATCTGAGTCTGATTTCATCAACCACTCTTTTCTTATTGTGCTTTTTAATTTTATTTAAATATATTAAAATATGTATAAATAAGGAAATTAATGAGATTGCTAATTGACAGTGCTGCCCCGTGTTCTCACGCTATGTGATAAGCTGAAGCACTTTACCCGTCATTTAATATTTGTAATGATTTTAAAAAAAAGTGCAACTCTGTGTTTGGAACAATTGCTCTGACCTCTGCTCTTTCATCCCAATCATGAATCAGCAATTAAGGTCAACGGACTGCCTGTTCAGGTTGAAGACGACACTCCAGTGCAGTGCTGGGGGAAACTACATTGTCTTTGAGATGAGACCCTGACTGTTTTTATTCTATTATCTTCTTTCTTTTAACTCGGGGGGAGTAAACCTTCTGGTCTCTATGGCTCAATGCTGTGTGGGACCAGAAGCCTTAACCACTGGGCCATTGGGGGGAGCTCTAAGATCAAGAACCTAACGGGAATTTAGTGATGAGAAACTCCCCCCCCCGCACCCCCGCACCCCAACCCCCACTCTGCTGCAGTCCTATTAGTGCTCCACCCTCACCACTGCTTGTATTGTTTCTCTATGAGGAATTATTTTGATGGCAGTCCTTTCACACAATCGAGAGCTAAAGCCCGGACTTAATGATGTGTTTTGCTGCTCCATGTTGAGCTCTGTGACAAAGTTGTGAGAAAAGTCCTACCTCAAGCAGCTCTAACAAGCTTCAGAGACATCCAAATCGTACAGAAATAGCACCAAACCTCTTAATAAAATTGAACATATCGCAAGCTTGGCACATTGGAGGGAATGTATTAAATTGGATACATAAGACTCCCGTTTCTGTTTGCCAGTAAAGAATGCTAATGCTCTTTATAACTTGAAAGCTACATGAAAGTCTGTAGGGAATATTTATCTAACACACTGCACTCCCTCTGCTGTAGGTTCTCCTGCAGCCACTGTTGCTCATTCCCCTCTAATGCTTTGCCCATGTGGCCTCCTTCTTGTTTGAGGCTGGACAGTGAATGGTGAGACAAGTAGTGACTGCACATTGCCCAAAAAGCAGCATCTCTGGTTGCCATCTCCCTCCTCCAGTGGGCCAATGCTATTTAATCCTAAATTAAATTCCTTGCATTTGATAATAGTGCCTTTCATGTCAGGAGAATGTTTTTGAAAGCGTTTCACAGGATTTATTGTAAAGTGTTGTGACAGTGTATTTTGGAGGCAAACTATGGCAGCCAAATTGGGCACAGCATTGCACCAGTCGAGAAAAGCAAAGCCACCATTAAACGTGGGAGCTCTGGGTCTTTATGGCTCAGTTTCAAACTTAGCAATGAATTTACCTACCTAGTCATCAAGTATTAGGGATAGTGGAGCCTGTAGTGTTACAACATCTATATTTACACAAAGTATTGATTTGGTATAATGCCAAATAGTTCTTGTATTTTATTAGTTTCGTAAATTTCTGAATCCAGTGCATAAAACATTATTCACTAATTTTTTCACAAGATTAGGGAAGGATTTGGTCTATTGAATGGATTTTTTTGACACTTGTCAACATAGCCAAGATATTCCATTTGGGAGGTAAGCCCAGCTGGGCTTTGTTGACAGCCTGAGCCAGATTGCACAGCTTCCTGTCAGTGGTGTCAGCTAACACTGCAGGAGAAACCATGAACCAACATGGTGATTTTAATTTTAATGAGTCACATATTGTCTACATGTCGCACCTATAGGGCTTATTGCACTGTCCATTCTGCTGCACATAAACATGGAATCCATGACCTTTCCAACACTGTAGCATCAATAGCTTCGGCTCCCATCACTTCTCCAAGGCCCTTTCAGTTTCTTTGTGACTCAAACTACCTGGAAAGGGGGGCATTGAGCATTTATAAGGTACAAATTATACATTAGAATTACTGAAATTTGTGTGGAAAAACTAGTTAGAACCTACATTCTGTGACACTGAAAGATATTAATAATAGTTCTTGCAATTGATATAGGGCCTTATCTCATCTTTGAGACATAAGAAATTAAGAAATGCTAGACCAAGGTCCATCTAGTTCGCCTTCCACCTTCCTGGCAGTCGCATGCACATATGTCCCGAACTACCTATGTACTATATCCCACAATATATTATTTCCCTAAAAAAAAGATCAAATCTGTGTTTGAAGGAATCAATACTTCCTGTTTCAACTGTCTTCCTAGGAAGTCTGTCCACTGGTTCACTATTCGTTCACTGAAATAGTGTTTCCGTAGATTTGTCCTGAATTTGTCCCCATTCAATCCCAGGCCGTGTCCTCTGGTTTTACTATTCTGGACTAGTCAAAACAGCCCGTCATGTTCTATATATTGTCTTGCCCCTTTAGAATCTTAAAGACAGCAATCATATCGCCTCTCAATCTTCTCTTTTCCAGCGTGAACATGAAATGTCTCAAAGCTCTTCACAGAATATACTGTGAATTGATTGTACATTTTATGGGTGAAATGTGGCAGCCAATCATAACAATTGGTTGATTGTGAATACTTTACATCTATATGGTTTCTTTCCCCATGTTTCTAGGCCACAGGACATTATATGTTGGTGTGCGTATGCCTTTGGGCAGACAGAGCCATCGACACCATAGAACCCATGGATCAAAGCACAAGAAGCGAGACAGAATGAAAGGCACCGTACAGGAGGAAAGAGACTCTCCTACTCATGGTGTGTTAAACATTTACAGCATTAACCAACCAGCTAACAAATCATAGATGGTGCATTGATGTCAATGGCTCCATTTGTGATTCAAACAGATAACGGAGGCAGCTAGATCCCTGTGAAGTCTGATTATGAATATTACACACTATTTGATTGTTGATAGAAATCTTAGCCTTGAGGAAAATGCAATGTAAAATCTTGACATAATGTTTGAGAAGATAATGAATGTTTTTACCAGCTATATTACTTTAGAAAAATACCATTTTAGCAAATACTTGTGTATGTGCGTGCTTGTCAAAATCCCCTCCAATATTTTGTCAATTACATTTTTCTCCACAATAGATTCTGCTCGCACAATAATGAGTGAAATCTTCTTGTAAATCCAAACTTTTCAGGAACTTGTCTTAAAATGCACAGCAACATCTAGTTATGACAACAGAAGGCTCTTTGGATCCATTTGATCTCATCCTCTCAAACCTCCCCACCCTTACTCTAATCTTCCAATACAGCTTTGACTGTTAGTTGTTACTACTTGTTAATTCACAAACCAACTCTGACTCTGTACTTTGGATCGGAATTCTCTGATCTCTTAAGAAGCTGTATGTAAGTGTTTTGCTATTTGTAGATACCCCATCCCAGCGTGTGCAGTTCATCCTGGGAACTGAGGATGATGATGAACATGTTCCACATGAGCTCTTCACTGAGCTGGATGAAATCTGCTTCCGGGAGGGGGAGGATGCGGAGTGGAAGGAAACAGCAAGGCATGTACAACGTTCCATTCATTATTAGCAGTGTGCCATGGTTTCGGTGCCTTTAGCTGCAGCACAACGAGTTTTTAGGAGCAGCAGAGAAAATGTAATGCAGTAAGGGCAGGTGCCACAGTGAAGAGGGAAAAAGAGAAGGTAAGTAAGTGGGAGCAAAGACAGGGAGACAAATATCCTGGGGGGAGGGAGAAAAGAGAAGACCACTTCGTTAATACGCTGTACCAGAAATTCCTGTTTGAAAGCTGTAAGTTTATACCATCCCAAGGCCTCTTGGTGAACTGACTTCATTTCCAATTAGATAGAGGTTAGCTTTGTTAGAAGTCACTGGGAACACTCAGCTGGTCAGCCAGCAGCTATGAAGAGAGGTAAGTGAGCTAACATTTCAGGTCATGGATCTGATACGTTAACTCACTTTCCTCTCTCCATAAATGCTGCCTGACCTGCTGCATGTTCCCATCAACTTGTCTTTATTTCACATTCCCAGCATCTGCAGTATTTTTCCTTTTGTCAGCCTTTTTTAGGGTTGTCTCTTGTCTACATTTCTATAAAAATCTATATTTAAACAACAATAACTTGCACTTATATAGCACCCTCCACGCAGGAGGGCGCTTAAAACTTCAAAATTTTAAACCTCGTATCCCAACTGGCAATACATTGTTGATGTAGAAATGTTCAGTGATGCTGCTTCTGGTGTATCCAAGTAAATAATATTTCTTGTTATAGATTGTTGGAAGCATGCGGTTCTAGATGAGTCACCCCTCATTTTTTTTGATGCATGTACCCATCCCTTGTTCGGAGGACCACTGGCAATATCACTGTTTAAATGTGGTAGATGGATTGACTCTGACATCCACAACAGTGCACACATACTGTAGCTACCTAACAATAGGTTCATGTAGCTCTGGGAATGCTTCTGTTAAGCATATCTTCCAGCCCGTGGCTTCAGGCGGCAGGGCTGTTTAAAGGGATTATTTTCACAACATAAAATAGGAATCTAACCTTAACTGCACCATTTAAAAGCCAAGTGTAAAAGTTCTCCAGCCAGCTGCTTTGGTTGTAAAGTGAGTACTGGGTTGTTGGCAGGTGGTTGAAGTTTGAGGAAGATGTGGAGGACGGCGGGGACCGCTGGAGCAAACCGTACGTGGCCACCCTGTCATTGCACAGCCTGTTTGAGCTGCGGAGCTGCATCATTAATGGTACAATCTTGCTGGACATGCGAGCGAACAGCATTCAGGAGATTGCAGGTATGGCTTTATAGGCCCCTTGTTGCTATTGCCCTGTTGTGAGCTGCATTATTTCTTCAGAGATTTGGGGGATTTCTGATTCTTTCTCATGCCGTTGCCAATGAAATCCATGTCCATCAACTATACCCAGGTTGGAGCTGCAAAATCTTTAATTAAAGCTTGTATGTCCATAATTACAATGCAGAGGCAAGAACCTTTTTTAACCCAAAGAGCAGAGAGTTTGCAGCAGATTTTAATTCTAATACATTCAAGCCCAGTTTCTGCATGAATTGAATTTTAGAATTGTCTCAGAAACAAAAATGAAGTAAAATCTACTCTCTATCCAGGGGTGATGTATAGAGCTCTGTCGGCACTGTTCTGCTTATATTAAAATGTTCCCTCCAGTGCAATCCAAGTCTATTATTGGACCCAAATGATGTCCGTGTAATATCTCCCCTCCTGCCTTGTGTAGTTCTTCACATTAAATTTGTGTCCTGCTGGCTAGAGGTCAGTGGAAATGTATGAATTTTATGATGCGCTTCGGTACTTGAGATTCATTGACAATGGCATGTTTAATTGGCAGTCTCACAAGGCTAAATTGGTCCTCCTGAGTTCTGAAAGCTAAAAATATACAGTCCATGTTTCGTCCACAAAATAAACAGTCAATTCTGTGAAGCGCTTTGAGACATCAACAAAGACGTAATAAGGCTCTGTATCAAATCAAGGATTATTAAAAAGGACTTCTCATTGTTTCCAAGACCTGAAATAACATCCTTATTAAGTTAGCTTATTGCTTAAGTCTGCTAACACACTGCAGAGTTTAACAGCTATTTCAAATAACAGTGGCACCGGTAATTGTGTATCAACAGCAAATGATGACTCGTTGCTGAATGCACCACACCAATTCAATTAAATCTTCCTTATGAAACAGGAGACAGCATCTGTGGAAGATATCAACTAATTTATTTTTCATGTGGGTTGCCTGAAGCCTGCTTTAATTGGTATGTCGTTATTAAAGAATACACCTACAGAGATCCAGTTTGAAGACTTGATAATATACTTTGCTAACATCCTCTAACTGGTATAAGCTCGTAGAAGCAATATTTCTACACAGAGCCTCAGAATGAATGCACAGGAATATCCATTCAGGCCTTGGTTTTTGGACACTAAGGTAATGGGGTGATTAAATAGGTTTCTCTGGATTTTCTCTTCATTTTTTTTGCGTACAGATCATGATAAAATATATCGATGTTAAATGGTACAAGTCCTGTCATTGCAAAAAAAAATCTGCATTTCTTCCTCAGATGGAATAGTCATGTGCTTTGCTGTAGGGTGATGCAGGCTCGATAGTTGCACGGAAAGGGTGCCTTGAGAACGTGGGGTCAGTTAGATTGCTGGCTATGAAATATTTAGAAGTTCCCTCAAGGAGGACCTTTATTCAGTTCTCACCTTCAGATAAAATATTAAGCTGAGCTCCCATCTGTCTGCCTGTTCACTTAAAGATCCCATGTCACTATTCTCCTAGTGTCCTGGCGAACAAGTGGGATTTTGCTGTGCGCAAATTGGCTGCCGTATTTGTCTACAACTACACTCATTATACATAACAGCAATAAACAGTGAATCATATTGAGATATTTGTATGTTTTTATAAGTGCTATATTGAATGTAAGGATTATTACATATAATTTCAATTTGAACAGCTGCCTCATTAAAGCCTGTCCATTTGTTAGATGTAGCATTTGAAGACAACTTCATAAAGTTGGACCAAATTATTTGGAGAGTTGTCAAACATTTCATACGTACATTTCCTCAACAAGGTGACATAAAATTGATGCAGCATCTACTGGGAACTGTCCTAGATCAAACCTCTGATGTAGACAGGAATATAAATCTCCAGTGCAAGTTGATGGAAGAATGTCATCTCAGATGAATCACTGAGACTGACGAATTTCTCTTTTCACACCTAGTTCACACTCTGAAGCATTGCTGGATTAATGATTTGGGTGAATTTATTGCCACTGTCAGGCTCCATAATGTTTCTTTTATCTTTCAGATATGGTTCTTGATCACCAGGAGGCCTCCATGGAACTGAATGAAAACATGCGTGTGAAAGTTCGCGAAGCTCTGCTGAAAAGACACCACCATCAAATTGAGAAGAAGAGAAATAACCTTATTCCAATTGTCCGATCCTTTGCCGAGGTGGGCAAAAAACAATCGGAACCTCACTCTATGGACAAGACAGGTAAAAGAGCTTGAAGCTGACTATTCAGTACCTTAGTGATCAATGTTCTTGTGTAGTTAAGTGAGAGAATCCCAAGTTTGATCTCTTGTCTGTGCCCAGTTAGCTGATCTCAGCCAGCTCGTAGTTGAGCTTTAGTAGCCATTCGGTGGGGAGCAGACAAACCAGGTCACTTCATCACATTTAGGTGTGAGGTGAAGACATACTGCCCCTTCACAGTCACATTGTCAGCTTGTGTAAAGGAACTTACCAGTGAAGAATGACCACTTGGCAAGTGATTGGAGGGCAGCGAGCCCTGGAGAATCACAAGCTAAGATGAGTCCATGCCTTCATTCGAGAAGGGTGAAAAATGGAGGGAGTGTGAACAGCCTACTGTCATTTGCCGCGTGGGCTCACCACTAGCACTGTTGGTGACAGTATACCGTACTAGTTTCAGGAGAAAACTGTCGTCTTGGAAGTTTGGTAAGCAAAAGATTAACCAGGAAGTTGGGAGGGAGTAGAATGGCAGAATAGTTCAATAGATGGGCGCAGAACACTCCCATACTTTTAAGCTGGAGCAAAGTCAGCGCATAACTGAGTTGACCCACCAGTGTACAATACCACTGACCTTACTTCATCACTTAGTTAACCCCAGTCATTCAGGCATAATGTTGTGCGCTGGTTAACATTCCAAATCCCAGCTAATGCCCTTCTAAATGAAATTAAATACTCTTATCAAGATAAACTGAATAACCTGTTGTAATCAATCATCTCAGCGTTGTGTCCAATTGAGTAACTCTTGTGCTAAACCCTTCAGTGAGGAGCTAATGTGAAGGATCTGAGTGTCCTTACGGTTGTCATGGCTACAACCGATCCAACAACCCCTCTGGTTTAAATAAATACAAAGTAAATTGTTGGGATAAAAATAACCGCTGGAGTTTGACTTGGCATTGGATTGCTGTAAGATTAATTTGAATCTGTGCCTCTAACGTGTGGTTCATCAACTTCCAGTAGCAACGCAACCTCCATCCGTGTTCACTGAAACATGCCAAACAGATGCAGGAAATCTGATCAAAGATTCTAGGGCAATGCTGAACGCAGATGGAATGCCTCGAGGGCTAAAGTTCTACCAACCATTAGCCTGTAAGACCAACCAGTCTTAAAATTCAAGAACACTAGTCTTTGAAAAGAACTGCCTACCAAATCAAGACTGTTAATGGAGAATCTAAAAATAAGCTTTATTTTAAAGCAACTTACTTTTGTTGTTTTTTTACTTCTCCCATCAGGTCCAATGTTGTCTCCGATGTCTGTTCCAGCTCACCTTGATGCCAAGAATGGAGTCAACCATGAGAACAGCAGCGCTGAAATATGCAAGGTAGGACTCCCATTCTGACCTTGGTGTGCCTACAGGTGGAACAAAACTCTCGCCTTGTTGGCCTGTCACTCATTATGGAGTCCTGTAACTCAGTAGTTAGAGCACTTGCCTCAAAGCGAGAGACCTGGGTTTGATTCCCAGCACGGTGAAATGTTAGTCAAGCTTCCTTACTCCACATGCCACTGTTTACCTAGCAGTAAGTAGGAACCCGGTTGTTAGTCGGTGGATCACTTTTTCTGGGGTAATAATTCCTAAAAAAAAGAAAAAATATATATATATCGGTCACTTCAATACATGACTATTTGTGGGACCTGCTGTGCGCAATTATCTGCCACATTTCACCCACAAAATATACAGTCAATCACTTTATAGTATATTCTGTGAAACGCTTTGAGACATGTTGAAGACGTGATAAGGCGCTATATCAAATGCAAGGGTTATTATTATGGTTAAGTCACATTAAGTTCACAATCAACAATGTAAACTTTTCTAGTTGGTGTGATAGGTGGTGAGGGGTGGAGTGTGGAAGTTCTACAGCATGACATTCTGATCTCAACTGAGCTTATTTTTCAATTTCATATCCACTTTTATCTGTACATTCTCCTACTACAACAACAACTTGCATTTATATAGCTCCGCTCACGCAGGGTAGCGTCCCAGAGCGCTTGATCTGGTAGAGGTCATAATTAGGTCATAATATCTCTTACCACCTCTACTTTCTTCCTCAGTTGACAGATTTTTCAAAATGACAGATATACTATGCTATTCTACATTTTTTGTGTCCTATAAACTGAATATCCTTTGGATGTGAAGGGATTTGAAACCTCCTTTATACGCATACTACAGTCCTATGATTCAATGACTTGAAGAGAGACAGATGGTGCCTGATATTGTGTTAGGGAGACTGTTGGTGTGAATCACTACTGCTGAGCTACTTCAGGTTAGATGCCTTTGACATTTGTGTGACACTGGCAGAATGCGGAACCTACACACTTCTCGCTTATACCTTCTGACAGGTAGACCTCCATTTTATGAAGAAGATCCCGACAGGGGCTGAAGCCTCCAATGTTCTCGTTGGTGAGCTGGACTTTCTCGACCGACCAATTGTGGCTTTTGTGCGTCTCTCCCCGGCTGTTCTCCTCACAGGACTTACTGAAGTTCCAATTCCTACAAGGTCAGACAACACTTCACTTTCATGTTGTATGGATTAAAAGGAGGCTTTAATTTCAGATTAATTGAAACTCTGTAGGTTTATGTCTGAGCTGCTGAGGTTTAATGTCCATTGACGAACAGCCTGCTGAGAATCCATGTCTTCGATGTCCACACTCACACATGAAGTTTAACCACTTGAGCGAAAATAACAGATGGTGGCTGGTAGCGGTGCAACTATAACCCAACATGATTCCTTGACTTCAGAAAGGAGGGACTGCTGAAAGGGAAAGAGAGTTGTGCTGTATAAAGTTTATATAGTTCTTATTGTGTGAGTATATTGTTTATTTTGAAACTGTGCTGAAAAAAATCACATCGCAAACTGTCAAGTCTTATGCCACTATTCGCCCACAAATACACTTCACAGTATATTACAGTATATTCTGTAAAGCGCTTTAAGGCGTCTCAACATTGTGATAAGGCTCTATATCAATTGCAAGGATTATTATTATGCATCCATAGTTCTGCTGCCTCATATGATTGGTGCATGAGCTGGATAATGTGAGGGTATTTTTCTTGTTAAGAAGCAGTATACCATTTATTATCAGGAATAACAGACCGCTGACAGAGGCTCGAAGGCAGTAATTCAATCTCCTGTTTCTGCTGACAATTCTAAACTACTTTGTTTCACTCCTGTGGCTTGACTTTCTCCATCCAGCTTCACTGAATCAAATTGTAACTGACACCAGTGATCGCTTACCCTATTTTTCCTACTGTCTTCATTGTTCCTGCAGCAAGTGATGAAGAAATCAATGTGTAGTCTGGTACAGCTGCCAGAAATTAAAGGCAGGTCAACAGCGATCTACTTATGGTTGACCAGTCTACGTTGGGATATAATATATAGTTTGCAGGATGATGGAAGGCGAACTCAATAAATCTTCTTTTGCCTAGTAAATTCTTATGTTCTATGCAGATGTAACGAGAGTTTATTGGGGAAAGTTGTCTAATAATAATAGTAGTCTTTTGTTCTGCAGATTCCTCTTTATTTTGCTGGGACCAATTGGAAAGGCACAACAATACCATGAGATTGGCAGGTCAATGGCAACTATAATGACTGATGAGGTATGTCCGCCCCATAAATGCTGGTAATGGTTTTGGGTTCTGTTGCTTAATGATGGATAACGCTATGACATTTTTCCCATCCTGAGCTGAAAAGTTGGTGACGCCACTCCCAGGCCTGCAGTGAAGCCAATCTCTGTAAAATACATCAGATCATTCCTCTCCTTCTTTCCTCTGTTTGTGGAAGTACTTTTTTAATATAACATACAATATACTCTCCCTCACGGTAAAGTCCTATGTGAATGGGGTATTAATCTATCCCAATAAACTACTGGGATTATTTAAAGGTGCAAGATTGACGTAGAAGTTTAATTAACTTCGCTGCTGATTAGAACCCTCCAGATCGTATTCAGCAGTACAAAGAAGCATTGAGCAGTAGTGGAGAGCGCTTGCCAAATAATGAAGATCAGTGAAGCGTATCCAAAGGACAATGCTGAGAATAGATTGTCGTCAAGAGTAACGAGTGCAGGATCAGCGTTACAGTGCGCTTCAATCAGCCTCATTCAGAGTCTTATCTCATCAGGAACTGTATGCATGAGAGTCACGGGTTAATCCCAGCTTTATTGATGCTCAGGAATTGATATCTTCTCAAATCATTGCATTCAATTCTTCGTCAAAGATCATAACCAACTAATTAGAAATGTTACAACTCTACTGTTAGATTTTCCATGATGTTGCCTACAAGGCAAAGGATCGCAGTGACCTGCTGGCTGGCATTGATGAGTTTCTGGATCAAGTGACTGTTCTGCCTCCAGGGGAATGGGACCCCTCTATCCGAATCGAACCTCCAAAAAATGTCCCATCGCAGGTATGTTCTCTCCCATCACTCAGATCTTTGGAAAAAACATAATAATAATAATAATCCTTGCATTTGATATAATGCAATCATTGTGACATCTAAAAGAGATTTACAGAATATATTGTAAAGTGAATTGACTGTATATTTTTGGGGCGAACCTCAGTAGACTATTGCACACGGCAGTGTCCCACAAACAGTCTTAGATTAAGTGACCAAATTATTATTTTATTAAGGGATTATTACCCCCAGAAAGCGATTCGCCAATCGACTAACAACCACGTTCCAACTTACTGCTAGGTAAACACTGTAACATATTGGTACTGCTTGAAGATTCGGTGATAATATCTGCAATCTATGCCAAGGATTTGCATATGATTTGGTCAATTGAGATTTATTCTGCACCTAATTTATTATTTGAATGGAATAAGAAGCCGAGCATAGATTCATTTGTTTTGAAATAATTTACTGCTGAATAAAAAAATGTGGCTTTGTTGGTGCTTCTGAATATCCTCTGTTAGTGCAGAACGTGTAGTCATGTGCTTTTTGTACACGGCTTTAATAGGCCATTTTATAACGACTGCATGATTCTGGAAACTGTTGCATCATGAGTAAATAATGGAAGGATTGCTGAAAATGCCAATTATGGCAGCGGGGAAGATGAAGTGAAGTATATGGTTTGTTTAGAAGAATAAGGTCTTTTTTGCTTTTCTGAAGTATGAATAACATGGCCGTGTTCCAGCAGTCAGGATGTGGCAATTTCTGATGTCGAGAATTGGCAGGTCCCTGATTCTGATTCCTGTTGTTAATTCTGGAATTCCAAAGAAATGTGAATAATTGGGGTGGTGAAATAGTGAGACACCGTCTTTGATTCCATGCCTCGTGCGGAAGGTGACTTGTCAGATGTCAGGCATTTGTCCACGGGAAGAGCCCATTTGTCTGACTCTTGTCTTTCGTATCTTCCGTAAACTAGGAGAAAAGGAAACTTCCTGGAGTTCCGAATGGTAATATTTGCCATGTTGATACTGAACCACACGAAGACCACAGTGGCCCAGAACTGCAGCGCACAGGAAGGTCTGTACACAGCATGGCAAACAGTTTTTGATGGGATTTATTTTATTATTAATATTTTACCTTTACTTACTGTCTTTTGTAGATTGCTAACTTTGCACTTCAGCTGTAATGGGTAGCATCCCCGCAACCCTAACTTGAACCAGTGCTAATTTTAAATATCATTTTTTCTCACCATTAATTCAGGCTGTGACTGGATGGCAGGTTTAGTCTCCCCTTGCCAGCTGGAGAGAAACCTGATTGTAAATAATCCTGTAAGAGATTTTCTAGTTTATCATAACACAATATTAATGTGTTAAACCATAAGGCCATCTTCAATTCCAAACATTTAGCAAATTGTGAACTAAATTAAAAAAGTATCCCCTTCCTTCCTGTGTTCAAATTCTCTGACAAAGTGCATTCAATTGTATTCGAGAAAAGACATCAACAACAACTTATATTTATATAGTGGTATTTATGTAACAGGGTCTCAAAGCCCTAATGAAAGGAGAGTGCTGGATACCAACAACAACAACAAAATACATTTGTATAGCGCCTTTCACGTCGGGAGGACGTCCCAAACAAGTGGAGGGAAACGTGTACAGCTAATCCAAAAACACAATTTGAGAATTCTGGCTTTAGGAGATGTCTAAAAACTGGCAGTGTTGCAGAGGACAAGGCATGCTGGCTGAAGACTAGTGTTGTTCTCGTAGGCAGCTGGAAATAGGGGACCCAGAACCAAAAAAGTAGAAAGTACAGGTTGAAAAGTAGGGTTGGGAAAGATCGAGCTAAACCACGGAGGGATTTCAGCACAAATACCTTTAAGGACCTTAATCAATTTCTCATCTCAAATTTCATTTACGGGAGCAAAGCTGACCGACAATAATGCACATTCCAATGACTTTCCTAATCTACCAGTGAGTATATTTGGGAGAACCCACGATGATGAAAAATGTGCTTAATTATTTCCAGCTATTTTGAAATGCACAACAACGTACTTAATGTCAAGTGTTATTGATTTAAATATAGTGTTTACCTTTTAGATAATTCAACCATTGTCCCCATCGAAAGTCCCCGTCCTGCTAACTCAGAGTATGCGTCCTAGATTTACCGTACTGCCAATCCTCGTGATTGTGTCGCGAGACTCGGGAATCTGCCTTTTTTTTAACAGGCCTCTTGCGACACAAGCTCAAAGTCTCAGGATTTTGAAACCTCTTGAGATTTTGACTTCTGAGCAGGTTCCATTTGCCCTCCCAGGCCACCTGTTTGGGCAAGCAGCCCATGTCTAGTGCTGCCCTGAAGAGCCGTATCTAAAGTTTGCTGCACAAATTAAAGGTAAGAATTCAATCTAATTAATCTTGTTCATTCCCTCTGCGTGTTGTCAAGGACTTCACGTGCCCTCCCCACAACCTGAGTGGCGATTGAGTCGGGCAGACTCATCCAGTCTCCCTCTTTCATCCAAATAAAATATATATACAAAATGAAATTCAGATCGTCTAGTTTATGACAAATAAACAGGAGATCTCAGTGATTGGGAGCCTCGAGGCAGGAGAACATGGGTAGATTGTCAGAAGCCAAGGCATTATGGACCCCAAAGTGCACTTTTGGGTACTTCTGGTTATTATTATTAATCAGCTACAACCGCAAAGTTATCAATATGAGCTACTGGTAGCCTGCCTGCTGCTTGTCCAATTAGGCTACACTCCTAGTTAGATTGCTGCCTCACAAAGTTAACCTGATGAGCCAGGCAGACTGGTCAATCATCAACTGTGCCCTGAAGTAGCGCTGTTCAAGCACTCCGAGACACTGCCCTGCGTGAAGGGCAATATATAAATGCAAGTTGTTGTTGTTGAAGTATTAAAGAGCTACTTTGCTCGGGTATTCATACCACCAGAGAGTTGATTCGGCTCTGCCATCCATCCATCCACCCGTACAAGACAGACATTGTAACCTATTAAATGATGCCTTCATCACTTGGAGATGCAGTAATTGCTCTGCACACCACCCAGTGTACCCATAGGAACATAAGAATTTGCTGGTGAAAGAAGACCAAGGTCCATCTAGTTCACCTTCCACCATCCTAGCAGTCGCTTGACATGTCATGTACCCAGTCATTTCTGGATAAGAAGCATGTTCACAAGATAGATAACTCCAGCAGCCATTACCAAGATTGTTTCAATGGCAGTTCTTTGACAAATATCTGCCTTCAACATGGTGAAGAGACCTTTGTATGTTAATTTACAACTTGATATCCACCCTAATGCTCTAGAGATTAGTCCAATGTCACATACTATGCTTACTTGACACCAACTGCTTAATTTAAGGTATCATGTAAGTGGATTGCTTGAGAAGTACAAAACTACTTGAGTGAACTAAGCCATATTTAAGACCCAGAACTATTGTTAGTTGCAAGCAAAATCACCAGCCAACATCTTTGAAGTCTGCTGCAACTCACTGTAGTAGAAAAAAACAAGATATTTTTTCACACAGCAGGTTGTTCGGTCTGGAATGCATTGCCTGAAAGGGTGGTGGAAGCAGATTCTATAACAACTATCAAAAGAGAAATGGATAGCTATTTGGGGAGGACAAATTTGCAAGGCTATGGGGAGAAGGTGGGGGATTAGGATTAATTTTGATAGCTCTTTCAAAGAGCCGGCACGAGCACGATGGGCCGAATGGCCTCCTTCAATGCTGTGTAATTCTATATCAATATATTCCAGTTGAGTACTTCTAGAAAATGGGACAGTCACTAGTTGCATTCCATTCCTTGAAACTGACTGAAAATGATTATTGTCAATTACAATGTATGTGTACATTTCAGCTTGAAAGTAAATGCCACGATTTTATACCAAACTTGCCATTTTTTTTCTCTGTACATCTCCTGAACACTTGGGGGTTGGCAACACTGGATTTATAATGCATTCTATGAGTACTGATATATAATCTGCACAACTTTAATTGTATTCAGAAGTCGCTGGGAACACTCAGCATCTATGGAGACCTGAAACGTTAACTTTCTCCATAGATGCTGCCTGACCTGCTGAGTGTTCTGTTCTTATTTCAGATTTCCAGCATCTGCAGTATTTTGCCTTTTGTTTAATTGTATTCAACCTGTCTCTAAACAAAAATCAGATGTTTGTTTTCTTTCATTTTGCTACTGCTCTGGCACCTCAACAACCTGCTCTCACAGGCCTCTTCCCACGGTCACCTGAACCAACTGCTGGGAAATGTTGAGTGATCTGGGTGGCTCGTGGCTCTCTCTCCATTCCCGGGAAAGTTCCTGAGCACTGACTTCTCCAAAGTTGGGGCTGGTATTTCAACAGTGCCAAAGGAGCTCTCTAACTGCCTATGTTACCAGCTGGAAAGAAATTGAATATTAAGTATCACAAATTTCTACAATTCTTTCAGAGAGTTACCTGTACATTCATTAGAGTCCTTGAAGTATCAATGCTACATATTTTCTTTGAGCAAATGCAGGAAAAAGGTTATAAAAAGGAATCTATACATAAGCTGCAACGTATAGTTTTTTTCTGGTTGAGAGGGGTTTATATGAAATGTGTATAATGATGTTAAGATACTCCACCGCCTCTGGTGTTAAAATAGTGAAGTATTAGATTATTGTATTAGCTTTGTTTTAACAACTGATATTACATTTACATTTTCCAATTTCAGATGTTTTCTAAGGTGTCTAACTTCTTTGAAGATTCAGTTTCTTTCAACTTTTTTTATAATAAACTACTGTTACAAGTATAAGAGAACTGGCAGAACTGCACTTAAAATAAATTTTGTTTTACAGTTGAATTGGATTACCATTGTTGTTTTGAGTTGAAATCTTTTCTGCTGTGCTCGGGAGTAATCAGTACATTTTAAACATAATTGTTTGCTTTAGCTGTACTGCTTTGGATAAGTGCCAAAATAAGCCTAGTATTTGTTTTCTTCTATTCCATCAGGCTGTTTGGGGGTTTGGTTCTTGACATCAAACGAAAGATTCCCTGGTACTGGAGTGACTTCAAGGATGCCTTCAGCTTACAGTGTGTGGCTTCCTTCCTCTTCTTGTACTGTGCCTGCATGTCTCCTGTAATCACATTTGGTGGCCTCTTAGGAGAAGCGACTGAAGGACGCATAGTAAGGAACTTGAAGATTTCACTTTGTTGCTTATAAACTGCTGATCGTGTTTGTAGTTATAATGCTATTTAATTTGGAGTCCTGTAGCTTAACGGTTAGAGCACTCACCTCGCAAGCGAGCGAACCCGGGGTAAATTCCCACGCAGGGCGAAACGTTGGATAAGTTTCCTTACTCCACACGCCTCTGATTAAGTAGCAGTAAGTAGGTTGATAGTCTGGTTGATAGCCGATTGACTGATCGTTTTTCCAGGGGTGATAATGCCTTCAACAAAAAATTTAAAAAAAAATAATTTGGTCACTCAATCCATGACTGTTTGCGGGACACTACTGTCCACAATTGGCTACTGAGTTTCACCCACAAATATGCAGTCAATTCACTTTACAGTATATTCTGTGAAGTGATTTGAGAAATCTGGAAGATGCTACATCAAATGCGAGGATTAGTATTATTAATATAGCAGGTGTCATCAGGTCTGTTTTCTGTTTAAAAGCAATAGGGGAATAAAGCAATGTGGAATCACTTTCTAAGGATAAATTTCTGTAAGTTCGTTTCACTTTATTTGCATTTTAAGAGAGGTCAGAATCTCTGAAAGTTAAAGGCATGTCCTTGGTGTCCTATATACAGTCCTAAATCTGACACTGGTCAGAAATAGGTGACATAGTCAGTTCACTGGTAGTAACTTCTACGAAAACCTTTGAAACCTTTCAATCTATAAAGCACTATAAAAATAAGTCATTTCTTTCCAAATATCATTCACAATTATTATTTTAAATCTCTTTCAGAGTGCTATTGAGTCTCTTTTGGGGGCCTCTATGACCGGAATAGCATATTCCCTATTTGCTGGACAGCCTCTCACTATCCTGGGCAGTACAGGGCCTGTGCTGGTTTTCGAAAAGATTTTATTCAAGTTCTGCAAGTAAGTATTTGTTGGGTGTAATGCAGTGGGTGCCACGTGTCTGAAATAAACTGATGAATCTCTCAGAACTCCAGGTTTTCATACACTTTACTGGAAGTACTTTTGCATGTTCCCTCAATCCCATGCTCTAGGGCTCTGCTGGATTTGCTCAGAAGGCAATTCTACAGCAGGAGAAGTTGTGGGATTGTTGATTGAGCCATTAGCTTTTGGGAGTGTGTGTGTGTGTGCACCGGTTCAGATCTAAATAAATTCTGGATTGTCTTTGGAATTCAAAAAATTGGATTTATTACTACTATAATACTATCACGTTGATGTTTCATCTATGAATCTTTAACTGTGTTCTCTTTTTACACAGGGACTATGATTTATCCTACCTTTCTTTACGAACGTGTATTGGGCTCTGGACAGCATTTTTGTGTCTCTTGCTTGTTGCTACCGATGCAAGCTGTCTTGTTTGCTATATAACTCGTTTCACGGAGGAAGCATTTGCCTCTTTAATTTGCATCATTTTCATCTATGAAGCTCTTGAAAAGCTGGTCCACTTGGGAGAAATCTATCCTATCAACATGCATGCCAATCTGGATCATCTCACTCAGTACTTGTAAGCATTGGCCTTCGTATTCTCACTGTACAGTATTCTGAAATCAGCAGCTATCTGTGCCCACCTTACATAAACTGCATGAAAATAAAAAGTATGTCCCTTCCCCCACTCTCCAGAACACAGTCCTCCTGTTAGTATCTTAAAATGCTGGGTGAAAATCAGTTTCTTTTCTGGGTAAAGAGGGGTGATTGCTAGGTATTTACTGCAGATCGAAAGAGAGGATTGTGAAGAGGTTGAGGTGCTTTTGTGCTCAGCTGAAGCTGTTGAACTTAATAGACAACTTGTACAACAGCAATCTCTGCAGTCACTAAGCAGAGTATTTTAAAATGTCAGATTAAGCAGCCCCAGTTGTGTGGTGTTGAGATCTTCCCTTCACATGGCTGTGGTTAGGGATCAGGTTATGCACATAATTGAGCCTTGAATCGGGTCAGTATTTTTCTATTACAGCCGTTCCATTAGGTTCTGAGGCAATACAAGAAGTTCTCTTTCCTTCCCACCCTAACTAGTCTGGGTGGGTGGGTGAGTGAGAAATCCAAGAGCACATGGTGGAAAGAGAAAGGTGGTAAATAGGGTAAGTAAAAAATACTTGGAAGATTTCATTCCATAAAGTGACTGTCACCGTTACCAGGGTTTGTAGACAGCACAGTTTGTCATTAGAAATTTGCAATTGTATCATTGTCTATACCTGTTATGTGACAATAATAAGTATAGACAATGTTATTATTTAAGCGCACAAGTGTGCCATTATTCATCTGAGATGATTATAGATCAGAAATCTTAATGGCCCAGATTTGTTTTTAACTGATAACTTTATTGTACCTTTCCATTCCTCATTAAGACGTGTTTACATTATGAAATCTGCAACTAGTTCATGTACTGAAGGTCTTGACATTGTATGAGGCTTATTGATTTTTAAACAAACTGGACTTGCTTGTGGTTTCACCATTCTTCTTGCTAGTCAAGCTTGTTTGTTTCTCACTAACCATTCTCCAGCCAGAAGAAGCACTGTATTCTGTAGACTGCTTTTATGATGTCTGTCAAGGCTGCCCTGTGTTCTCTGGAAGAAGGTGGATATGGTGTGATGGTGGAGGAGGAGGAGGAGTAAAATGTTCCCAATAACGTTCTGAATAAATAGGCCAGGAAATATGAATAGCGATGATTGACTCTACCTGGACTGGAGAACCTCAGAGAGCAGACTGATTTGAAGAAGTATCTTCAAAGCCCAGTTTGGTATAGACAATCAGCCATTGTTATTTCACTGTTTTTCTCTGCACACCTTGATAATGAATGCTTTAAAACTGAAAAAAACATGTATGAATGTAGCTCCTACAGTTTAAGAATGCAATCCAGTGTTCTCTTTTCTATTCATTTCAGCTGTGCCTGCACAGAGCCTTTTAATCCCAACAACCAAACGCTTGACTATTGGATGAATCACAACATTACAAGAGCAACTGTTCCCTGGGGAAACCTAACTGTCACTGTAAGTTAGAAAACAAATGTGACTGTCGGCTGGCTCCTTCATGGCAAGCAATGTTGTTTTAAGATTATGCTTAAAGCTGAGCATTAAAACTACAGGTATTGATCTTTGCACTTTCATTCCGGCACTAAATCTTACTACCACTCAGAGCTGTTGCTAGTAAGATGTGTTTTTTATATATAATATATAATAATGTCACTCAATGTATTGGCAATGATGAGTGCCACAAATGCAATTTTATATGCTAAGCTAATGATATTCTGGCACTGGATTGTGTAAATTTATTTTGTTTGCCTCAGTTTTTCTCCTCTCCCGCATCCACTGGCTAATGTGAGGGATACAAAGTCACTACTCATATTTCTTATGAGCCTGTACCATGAGTATTGGCAAATTATTCAAATATGAAGGACAGCAATGATTTCCTCCTCCAGTGTCCACAAATGCAGTTTTCTAGTCCAGGTTAATGAACAGTGATGACGAACACAATGAGTATTTTTTTTACAGAGAAACCAAGGCCATATACAGCTGAGCTAATACCCGTACCCTAACTGGAAGCCTTCATACCATAGACTGAGCCTGGGTCCTTTTGGATCAATTGATGTCAATTTCACTATTAGCCAGTGGAGATTTTAAAATGTAATGTGATAGCCCCCAATATTCTAACATCAGCTGAATTGTTAATACAATTCGTAAAACCTAAATAAAATACTAGAGAATGTGAAAATGTAAGAATCAGATTGGGGGGGCGGGGCGGGCGGGTACAGTAATACTTAAATAATCAAAATATAATGTCAACATATTTTGTCCTGACAAATTCCTAAAGTTCCCTAAAATGCCTATTAAATTAGCTCCTCAGAATGCTTGGGTCAGTCGGACATTGTTAATATAATCTGTGTGCTGCCTTTTTTTAATCAATTAGGAATGTAGAATATTCCATGGTGAATTTGTTGGACCTTCGTGTGGACACCATGGACCTTATACCCCAGATGTCCTCTTCTGGTCGGTTATACTATTCTTTTCCACATTTGTCCTGTCAGGATTCCTGAAGCAGTTTAAAACTAGCCACTATTTTCCCACCAAGGTATTACACTGTCTGCTTTTCTTCACATCTTTACATATTGGTTACTATCATTTTGTAAGTTGAATCTTTGCAACATAACGTTTTTAAAAAATATTTTAGTATTGTCTTTCAAGTATTTCTTATAAAATATGCTTTGTGCAGTGCAAAAATCTACTATTAGCTTCTGTTAATACTACTGTGCAACTGGATTTGGTTCTCAATAAATAAAACTAATGGTAACTGGAGTACGAAACAACACACTAGAAAGTTTTTCTGGTACTTTTCCACCTTGGACTATCCTGAGGGCTTTGGCTCACAAGGTTGAAATGTTCAAGCTTCAAATAGGCTGGTCAACAACAGCACGGACATTTTGTCTTGCAATATCCATTTGCAATTGTTTCCTTACTCCACACAGAGCCTAATAATAATCCCTCCAAAAAAACAAAACAATAATAAATTGGTCATTTTCAATCCACGACTGTTTGTGGGACATTGCTGTGCGCAATTGGCTGCCGCGTTCTCCCACAAATATAGTCAATTCACTTTACAGTATATTCTGTGAAGCGCTTTGTGACGTCTAGAAGACTTGAAAAGCGCTATATCAAATGCAAGGATTATTATTATCATTCAGATCCATACAATATTCCTTTAAAGAAATTACTGAACTAAGTCATGATTTTGTTTCACTGCATGCTTAATTAGGATGTTGTAACTTTTTTCTAAATGTATAACAGGTTCGGTCTATGATCAGTGACTTTGCTATTTTCCTGACTATCTTGTCCATGGTTCTGATTGACTATGCTCTGGGAATTCCATCGCCAAAACTTCAAGTTCCCAGTGTTTTTAAGGTAACTGAAGCAGAATTTGGTAATTATTGCTCCCCACCAACGCTGTCTTTCACAAATGTTCTTTCCGCCTCTCCTGATTGAAGAGTTATATTTCTGATTGAAATTCTTGTTTCAAGTTTTTTTGACAATCACATGTTGCTGAGTTATTCAAGTCGCAAACAGAAGCCTCAAATTCCAACCAATCTTAGCCTGTAAAATTTAGAAAAACTTACAGAAAACAGCTTCAAAATTAAAGCTGTGTGTTGAACACTGTGTTCGTAGAGCAAATCTAGACCCAAGTGGAATTTCTATCCACACATTCCTACCCATGTCTCGGGTTGACATCCAGGAACAGTAATTCTATGTGTTTTGAGTTCATATTTAATCAGTGATTGCAACATATCACTTTAATGAACAACACAAATGAATCATCTCATTGATGTGATGCATAGCAATTTATTTTGATAAGTCAGGTGTCTGACATATATGGAATCACCATGCTTAATAGTATCCCAACCAGAGTTCCACACAAGTATGCCACCTACATATTGGAAATGTTCCCTACATCTAGAATGTACTGGAGGAGTACTGTGAATCCGTTTGGCTCAAGAACCAGATTAGCTCCAAGGAGCAGCTAATTACCTCCCCCTCACACAGCAACAGTGCATTTCAAAGTGACTTGTGAAAGACTTTGAGAGATTGGCATATGTGAATTTATATTGTGCCGCATTTACTGCATTTATAAGTAATATTCTTCAAATACTTTAATATTGCAGAGAATTACACTGATGTTGTTATCACACTTAAAAACAATTCTTGAATTTGATTGCTTGCAGCCAACAAGAGATGACCGTGGATGGCTAATAAACCCTATTGGCCCAAATCCCTGGTGGACAGTTATAGCAGCCATTATTCCATCTCTGCTCTGCACTATTTTAATCTTCATGGACCAACAGATCTCTGCCGTAATTATAAACCGGAAGGAACACAAGCTGAAGGTAAGGATAGTTGTTCAGTGTCCATGTCCATCTATCCAAATTGTATTAGTGTTCAAGAAGTAAGTGATGTCAGAGTGCGCTGGAAGTGTCTGAGTGATTGGACACAGGGTGACTGTGTTTCCCTGTCTTATATTAATCATAATGACAAGAGTAAAATAGATCCCACTGTCTATTTGACGGCTAATCTTATCGGTAAAGGTTTAAAATGCCTTGAGAGGCTTTGGGTAAGTTATAAGATTCTTTTCTTTTCACAGAAAGGAGGTGGCTATCATCTCGATCTCCTAATGGTGGCTCTAATGCTGGGTGTGTGTTCAATCATGGGACTTCCCTGGTTTGTAGCAGCCACTGTTCTATCCATCTCTCATGTGAACAGTTTGAAGCTGGAGTCTGAATGTTCAGCCCCTGGTGAAGTTCCAAAGTTCCTTGGAATTCGAGAGCAGAGGGTCACTGGTCTCATGATCTTTGTTCTAATGGGTTGCTCTGTCTTTATGACGGCTTTCTTAAAGGTATGTCAAAGGTGTGACTACTAGGTACGTTTTGATGGTCGTATACCAAATTGAATCCACATCATTCAACCTTAGCTAATTATAGTTTCATGTCCACTGAACAACCACACAAGTGTCCAGATTGAGGCACTGAATAGCAAGCAAGAGCAGGAACCCTCTGACTGGTGGGCAGTGGGGGGTACTAAGGCCAATTGTAGTGCTCCTATTGTCATTTAACACCTCACCCGGCTACTCAGCACAGACTTTTCACTGGACGCACCCAGGCCATTGTCTCTCGTAAAATTTTGGAAAACCATTTTAAGTTTAGTCAGTTCAGCCTGAAAAGACCAGGCTAAGACCTAGCAAATATCAGAGCTCTCATTGCCTCTCCTGTTCAGAAAAGTAGGAGCTAGGAATGACAACTTACCAATGAGAAACTTCAGTTGTTTAAAGTAGTCAAAACCACAATTCCTGGAAGAAAATACAGAAAAAATCAATAATGGACAATGATATTATTTCTATGATTGTATCCAGAAGACAGCTAGGGAGGTTGGGTAGTGGAAAATAAAGAGTACAATTACTTCCATTGGAAGTAGTCGTATTATTTTAGTGTACAAGTTTTTCTTGTGACTTTTTGTAACTATTTTATATTTGCAGTTCATTCCAATGCCAGTGCTTTATGGAGTCTTTCTTTACATGGGGGTTTCATCACTGAGAGGAATTCAGGTGAGAAAGTTCATGAAATTAATGTTCTTTATTCACTGCAAGATGTATATGAATTGTCCTTTTTTTTGTCAAGTCCCTAAAAAGATTTAATATTCTGAATATGTATAGATTAGTGTTTGTACTTGGATCCATAGCATTTAAAGGCTTTTAATAAGCAAATAATAGTAACTGGAGGGTTTATGGTTCTTCTTTAAAGCTGAAATGTTGTTGGTGACAAGTTTAGCTGTCATTAGATTGCTTACTGTTAGCCATAGAATCATAATAATAATCCTTGCATTTGATATAGCGCTTTTCACTTATTCTCGACGTCTCAAAGCGCTTCACAGAATAGACTGTAAAGTGAATTGACTGTATATTTGTGGGCGAACGCGGCAGCCAATTGCGCACAGCAATGTCCCACAAACAGTCGTGGATTGAAAATGACCAATTTATTATTGTTTTGTTTTGGAGGGATTATTATTAGCGTGTGGAGTAAGGAAACTTGCCCAAGGTTTTACCCTGCCTAGAATTGATCCCAGGTGTCTCGCTTGCAAGGCGAGTGCTCTAACCACTGAGCTACAGGACTCCTAGAATCTTACAGCACAGAAGGAGGCCATTCGGTACATCGTGCCTGTACCGGCTCTTTGAAAGAGCTACCAACTAGTCCCACTCCCCTGCTGTTACCCCATAGCCCTGCAAATTCTTCCTTTTTAAGTACCTATCTAATTCCCTTTTGAAAGCTATTAGCGAATCTGCTTCCATAACTCTTTCAGACAATGCTTTCCAACTCTGTGGGTAAAAACAAAAATTCTCATCTCCCCTCTGGTTCTCTTGCCAATTATCTTAAATTGGGTGTCCTCTGGTTACCAATCCACCCGCCAGAGGAAATAGTAACTGGAGGGTTTATGGTTCTTCTTTAAAGCTTGCCGGCACAGGCACGATGTACCGAATGGCCTCCTTCTGTGCTGTAAGATTCTAGGAGTACTGTAGCTCAGTGGTTCGAGCACTCGCCTTGCAAGCGACGTCTTCTTCTACTGTAACAAAACCTCTCATCACTTTGAACACTTCTATTAAATCCCCCCTCAACCTTCTCTGCTCTAAGGAGAATAATCACAGCCTCTCTAGTCTCTCCATATAACTGTAGTCCTTCATCTCTGGTATAATTCTTGTAAATCTTCTCTGCCCTGGTGCCCAGAATTGCACAGCTCAGGTCTAACCAGTGATTTGTAAAGGTTCAACATAACTTCCCTGCTCTTATAATTTGTGCCTCCATTTATAAAGCCAAGGATCCCATTTGCCGTTTTAACCACTTTGTCAACTTGTCCTGCCACCTTCAAAGGTTTTGTGTTTGTGAGTCCCCAATTTATTAGTGATTAATATAATTTAAGATTAACTATAACTTTAAACAGTAAGTTTGAATTGGGTAGTATTAAAACTACAAATGAGACAAACTTCTCTTTTCATCATGTACTAAACTGAGCGGTTGTTACAAATGCCACTTTGAGTTGATTTATTCTGCCTGTAACTCCCTCTCTCAATAATGACTATTAGTTGATATATAATAATAATAATCCTTGCATTTTATATAGCACTTTTCACGTCTTCTAGACGTCTCTAAGCGCTTCACAGAATATGCTGTAAAGTGAATTGACCGTATATTTGTGCGCGAAACGGAGGACATGAAACAGAGGGAAAATAATGCACTCGCAGAAAGGTGCACAATATGCAAATTCTGGGTTTTTGAACAGTTTTATTTTCAGGGGGTATTTTGGCACATATTCTCCTTTTTTGTAGTTTTAAATTTTTTTCCTTCTTCATCTGGAACAACGCCTGGAACCATGAGGGCAAGAGCACAACTTCTCACACCTTCTATCTGCCAAGATGTGCGAAGGAAGTGCCATGCATGGTTAACCCCTTAAATTCTAAATCACAATTCTCCTCCCTCAACTGGGGAATGCCACCACCCTTGCTCAAGGCCTGGTCGATTTAACACGCTTTTGATAAGAGAACAAATCTGCATTCATCCCTGTTCCGTAGTACTTTAAAACTTAAATAATGACAAGATATACCTATTAAAACCTGTGATTTATCCCAAGGTCTTGAGTAACGTTTCAGTATGTTTCATATGCATTTATGAATGAGTGTCACAGACCAAGTTGAATCTTTTTCTTCTTTTGCAGTTCTTTGATCGTGTGAAACTGTTTGCAATGCCAGCCAAACACCAACCAGATTTTATCTACCTGCGTCACGTGCCTCTACGAAAAGTTCATCTTTTTACAGTTATTCAGCTGACCTGCCTGATCCTACTTTGGGTCATCAAAGCCTCACCAGCTGCTATTGTTTTCCCTATGATGGTAATTTTTGTAACTATTACCTATTTAACATTTATAGTGAAAGTGTGCTCGAGTTCTCAGTAGTTCTAACATTACAATGAGAATTGAGGTTCATTGCCGGGCCTAAATGTATTTGTCACCCATGCCTCATGCAAAAGCACTTTTTCTTCAGAACTAGGGAAAGGTAGGACTTCATGGTCCAATTATCTCTGTAATTGGATCATGAAGCCCTGTCCAGAGCCAACCATCCTGATATCGCTAGAATGAAATTTCTTGTCTTATCATGAATTTTCTACAAACAGAAGTCCGCCTCTAACTTGTCTGACAGGCACACTTCCTGCAGCTGAACATTGACAAGACAGAAGCCATATGCTTTGGCTCCCGTCAAGGTCATCTCTCCTGCGGTTCGGTCCTCAACTTACCCGATCTCTCCCTAAGACTCACCAAACCCATGTGCAACTTAAGCGTCGTGTTCAATTCTCAGCTATCCTTCCTACCCCACATCCGGTCCCTGGCCAGGACCGCTTTCCTCCACCTCCGCCACATTGCCCCGCTCCACCCGTACCTCTCTAAAAGCTGCCGAAACCCTCGTCCGTGCCTTCGTCACCTCCAGCCTCGACTACTCAAACACCTTCCTCTCTGGTCTACTATTTACAAAATTCAACTAATTCAAAGCTGTGCCTCCCAGATTCTCACCTGCACTAAACTCCATACCTCCATTACCCCAATCCTTGTCAAACTCCATTGGTTCCGTCACAAAGCGGATCAATTTCAAGATCCTCACTCTTTTATTTAAATCCCTTCATACCCTGGTTCTCCCCCCACCCTCTCTCCAAGCTACTCTCTCCCTACACCACCATCCGCTGCCTCTGCTTGACTGGCTCCAGGCTCCTCCTTGTCCACTGGACCCTCCGCCTCACCATCGGTGCTGTGCTTTTAGCCCCTACACACTGAAGCTGTGGAACTCTCTCCCTGAATCTCTTTGCCTTGCCCCCCCACATTTTCAGGTCGTGCTTGACGATCTTCCTCTTCAACCGTGCCTACAGTCACCTTCCACCTCCCACTGGCTCGGCATCGGGCTCCACCACTGTTAAGCGCTCAGAAACACTGTTCAGCCTGACGGCCACTGTATGAATGCAAGTTGTTGTTGTAACTTGTAGTTTTTAATTGTAAAATAGGGGAACAATGTAAATAGGAGAGGCCAAGCTGATGATAAATCTAGTGTTTTGGATTATGTAGTAAAATATACTTCCCAGTTTAGAAACTGGTACAGGTTCAATTGTTACAAGAGACTTTTCTTAAGCAACTTGTATTTGTTCCCTCACCTGATCTCTGATGGTTTGTTGCAGGTATTAGCTCTAGTTTTTGTTAGGAAATTGATGGACATCTGTTTCCTGAAGCGGGAGCTAAGTTGGCTTGATGATCTAATGCCTGAAAGTAAGAAGAAAAAACTGGATGATGCCAATAAAGTCAAAGATGATGAGGTAAAACTTGATAGCAATGTGAGTTTAAACAACTTGAACATATCAATATTTAGAAACTTCTGCACACAATTGGCTAAAATTGAAAGTTTTACAGCCAACCACCAACCTGTAAATTGTTAGTTAAATGGAACCAGTTTGTTCCATTTAGTGGGTTCTTGTGCTTTGGAAATAAAATTTATGTAAATCAACAAAGTTTGAAGATACACCAAGTTAATGTTTCTATTTGTGAGACACCCAAGAAATTTTTAATCGTATTGCATAATACCACAATTCTAGCTGAATAATTATAAAATTGTACTTAACACTCGTTGGCTAAGAGTTTCTGCAAACCAATATTTGCTCACAAAAATGTAAACGTATTATTTTGGCAGATGAGCAAAATGTTTCACAGAGGAGCTAGTTTATTTTTCTTTGTAATGTTACAGGAATCGGAGAAAATGCTGGAGCCCGGAGGTGACGGTAATGTTCAGCTACCAATGGAAAGTAGAAAATTACTTCAAAGTCCAGTAAAGAGTAATGTTTATAGGTAATCCAATCAATATTGTTTCTAATATTCTTCACAAATCTCATGCTGTTTTAGTGCAGTTTTAAAATGTACAGCGTAGTTAAAATGTACAGTATAGCTGCTTTGTATTAAAGATTTCTAGTAGATTTGTTATCAGAATGTTACCAAATACTGAACTCAAACATTTCACATAAATTGAAAGAAATATGTAGTGTTTTAAAAACAAATTTAGAATCCTTTACAAATCCATTGGCTAGATATTTCTCAATAATTGTATGGAACCAATTTCTGACAGTTGCTGTTGACACAGGTGACATTATTTCTCTATAATAATGCAACACAATAATCAAACTGCAACACCTTAACTTTTGATGTTTATAGGTGTGATCCATCTGAAATTAATATCTCAGATGAAATGTCCAAGTCTACAGTTTGGAAGGCACTCAGCATGAATACAGAGAGCAAAACAAAGGATAACACAACTTCAAAGAGGTAAAATAGTTTTGATAAATACTGTTCAAATTATTTAGTACTTAATATTATTTTTGCTATTCCAGTCCCATAGCCATGATATCCTTGAGCTGCAAGAAAAAGGACCCAGCCAACTGATTTTCTTTTTCTTCTCTGTACAACCAGGAAAATAAAGCAAACCCACCCTCTCAAAGTATTTATTAATACATGGATGCAACTTTGATTCCCTAGAAAAAAAGCTGGCAACTTCACAGTGGAACAATCCTAAAGAGTGATTCTTCCCAGTGCTGTCCTTATTACAATTGTGTCTATCAGTATTCTGTCACATCGAATACAAAAACAAGACTGAAAATCTAATTAGATCATTTCATTTACATATTCAATTAATTAGTGAAAACCAAAATGTAGTTTCTACTTTCTTTGAATATCTAATTTAGACTGCTGCAAGATGCATTCAGGATTCCAATACTAAAACACAAAATCATGGCTTCCTTTGTGCTAGAAGGAAATCCATGGTGCTCTGCATGAAAGTCACAACCATTCTGCACTACTATAATACTGATTTAACATCTATTAACAATCTCTTTAAATGCATTGCTCAGTCCAGTGATGGAAGAACATGTTTTTAAAGACAGCTTGAAATTTCCCAGTGTTTTATTGTTAATAGAATGTTAAACTATTCGTAAGCTGCAGCATTGTGCAAAGCTTGCATTAGACCTCATTAAAACCTTTCTAGGTCAGTAGGCAATGTTTTTACTGTTCACATTTGTCTGCCATATATACACAACTCTTTAATTTCAAGGAAAATCACCAGTTTGGGATTTAGCCAATATAGGACAGTGCAAGTTAGTAGACTCCACTCCAGGAGTACATCTTGACTTATTTCACTGTTATACCAAGAAAAATATCTGAGTTCCTCCCCTCCTTTATACTGAGCAATATTTTTGTTTGCAGCAGTTCCACTCAAAAGCCAGTGTAAAGTGATCTACATGGGATAAGGTGAGTTATGCATCAGATTCTTCTTAAATGTTTAAATGTTGTGTTCATCAAAGCAAAGGTGAAGAATATCCGTTCTGGGGAATGGAAGCGTTTCCCAATTCGGACACCCGGTGACAGCATCAAGCACAAACCAGACATAAAGATGCCCCTATTCTTTAAAATCAACCTCAGCAAAACAGTCTATACTGCACCAGTTGGACATTTCCATTTTCCATCAACCATCCTTGGAGTCTCAGAGTGAGACCCCCCAATTTGTGCCCAAACTATAGACTGCTTTCTGCTGTAGATTTGGCTTCACGTGAATTGAATTGAAGAAACCCAAACTACTTTCATATAGGACTATGGCTGGCAGGTAGAAGAGGATATTGTTTGTCAATTTAGGCTGCAGATTAACTCAAGTCCCTGAAAGGAAAAGACGGGGTCCTTAACACACAGCACCTATTGTGCATGAAATTTCTAATCTTACAAATGGAGCTCAATTTTCTTGAAGTGTAGTGATTATTTATAATGGATTCCCAGTACAGGCACAAGTAAAAGATTGACTACTTAGGAAATGTACCAAAATAATGGCCTTTGTTTGTTGGTTTGGCCCTTGTAACTTCAAACCAACAAATGTCATTTTAATAAAGACAAATCTTAATTCCAGAGGCATAACTTCAATGGTGCAAGTGGTGCAGTCCCGCCAGGGCCCACAAGTTTATGGGGAACCAACCAATTGATGGTGGAATGTTATGGGGGCGGAAGCATACCTCCATCCTTCTCCCCCATCAAAAAATTTTTTTTAGCCATTTCGGAAATCCTTGTCTATCTCCAGACTTGAAGTGGGCCAGTATGGTAAGCAAAATTTTTAATTTTGAAATTGGGAAGAGGCCCCCTAAACTATTCTTGCACCAGGCCACTTACGGCCTTGTTACACCACTGCTTCATTCTGAACTTTACAATCAGACCACATATTTAAACTGCAGAAAAACTGTGTGTGTGTCAGTTAAAATCTAATTGTCTGCATTGTGCTGCTTTGATTATTTGACTGTCCATTTCTTTCTTTCTTAGGTTTAAACAGCAGTATTGACAGAGAAGTAGAAGTTATATTTGACTCAGGGAAGAGCCAAAACAGAGAGGTTTGCAATCAACCTTCCAAACTGCACCTTGGAAGACATCCTTGGAAAAGAAAACTAGTTGAAGGCAAAACACTGTCCTTTTAAAATAATAGAAACCATATTAAAGGTCTTTCAAAGTGAAGTCTGAACTTTTAAGTCCAGTTTTAATTTTGACCTTTTTATATAATTTTCAAATGTTTTGATTGACCAGAACTTCATAGAAGTTTAAATACTCAAAGGTATGAAGAGAAAGGTTTACTGAGTAAAATGTATGTGGTTTTGTATGTTTTTTAATTTTCAGTTTTATAATACAAAACCTGACAGACAAAAATAAAGCTTTGAAAGGCCTTCATCTCTGACCAGCATATAATTTGAGATGTTTATGTAGAAGGTAAGAAATACTAAGATTTGTTATATGTACTGGTATATGTACTGTATCACAATTATTGTGTGATTATCAGTGCTGCTTCTATGATTTCTTCACTTTAATGTATGTTTTCATGTCTGTGCATGAAAATATTCTAGTCTATCAAAGATGTTTACATGTATTTGATCATTAAATGTTACCTATTAAGTAATAAAGCAACTTGCAGTGCAATATACTGTACAAAGACAGAACGTTCTAATAATTCCAAAAACCCTAATAATAAAATCTGAGAGGCTTTTGTTACCTGACACCCTCAGCAGCCTGCTGGCAGTAACATTCCTGTAGGGAGTTTGGATGGGATAGTGCATTGGGATCTTGATACAGATACATGATACATGGCAATTTTATAGGATTTCCTTTATTAATATTGGAAAGCAAACCATTTTTCCTCTGAATTTTTTTTCTGGATGAGGGGGAAGAGTCATGTAAACACTAATTTAGAGCAACTAAAAAATAAAATCGTAATTAAAAACACTTCAAAATATAAAGTAAACATTTATAGAACATGGATATGGATATGTTAATCAACCCTCTTAAATTATCAGAAAACACCCACTTTAACATAACCCCAAAGTAACTATAATGTTATATTTTAGCTTGTTTTTAATGTACAGATTATTTTAAGGTATTCTTAAATCTGACATGTGAGAGGTGTTTTGTAATTTGTGGAAATTATTCACCAATATGCAAAATGCATTTTTTTTAAATCTGATCAGAAGATACCAACACTAGGAAATCAGAATGCAAGAGAGGACCAATTGGGTAAATTGTATGCTTTGCCAGTTTTTTGTGCCCATACTAAAGTATGCTGGAAGCACCATTCCCAGACCAAAAAAAATCCAATTGGTTGTGATAGTAAGGACAAACAATGACCTGCTAAAACGGAACAGTTACAGCCAACAAAGTCAAACAAAAGTTTTTTTTTTCTATGTCAAAATGTACACTTGAGGTAAGAAAGTCCCTGGAAAATATATGACAGACTTCCTAATGCACTTTTGTGATGCCTAACTAAATGCCGCTGCAGTCTTCACAGGGTTATCTGATTAAAACCCCTCTGGAAACTGCACTGGTTGTAGGCTGGTGAGGGTACCCAGCAATCCTTTCATTCTGCTGGTAATGTATAATTTGGATATTTCAGTCCATATTTTGAACATTCCATCACAAATGTAAGGCATGTTTATTTGTCTGATTTCCTGGAGAAACGCAGGTTCCAAACCAAACAATTGCCATGATTTTGATTTTTGAATGTAATAGATACCAAAAGAGAATATAATAAACTTTATCCTTATTGAATTAAAAGTGCAGGCACAAATTTTTAATATTGCTTTTTTTCTTTCTGGTAAACTACATGTAGAAATAGACATTATTTTCTTTTAGAGAAATTTAAAGAAATATATTAATAGATTATTTTGTTGCAGAAAACCTATAGCACTTAATATTGTTAATATTGTTACTAAGTATGGCACTTAATGTTGTAAATAAGTCACAGAGATTGAATCCACCTGTACCATCAAATAGAAGTTTATTGACCTAAATTTGACGAGTGGGCTAATAGCTCATTTACACAAGATCTGTCCCCTCAAAGCAGAGAAATGTGTATAGTAAAGCCGATATGGCTTCTATTTTAGCAAAATGTTTTTTGGTTAATAACGCTGAACTTTTATGTATGAACACCCAGATATAATTGGCTGTTTAGAGTATTGTTTGTATTAGTGCAGTATATGTAATTGCAGTTTCAGTTCATGTTGGGTGTAAAAAAATATATTTCATACTATACTGGAGGATTTTTTGTGTAAAAGTGCTGTACAGTCAGTTAATGCTGTTCTCTATTCTTGTGATGGTTTTGTTGCACAATTGATGTAATGAAAATAAGTGTACTCCTAAACAATAGATTAAGAAATGTACCTTTTTTAAGGAGATATTATTTCAATGGTCTGCATTTTACAAGACTTCCTAATGTGTTATTTCCTCCCCTCTCTGTTAAAGCTCTGGTGAATATTAACAAGTACATTTAAAAAAAAAGAGAAAATTACTTAATATTTATAATATGAAGTCTTGAAAATGTGTGATGCAAAAATTCTAAACGGTGGCTTCTTTGAATCAACAGGAGGGATTTAATCTACTTAAATGATGAAAATGTGAAAGGGACGATTGTAATTTATTTATATAAGTAAATAAAAATGATTAAAATACAACCTCCTCAATTATTGCTTTCACTACAAAGTTAAATGAAAATAAGAGGATTAGAAGATTGTGCAGCCCAGTGACTTTTTTAACATTGTTAATGAGTGATAAGCAAATGATTTTTCAGGTTACACTAAAGCATTTTATAATGACTAGCTCAGGAGAAGCATTGGCATGAAATTCAGCAAACTTCTGATAACTCAACACTGACGTAACCTGTCACCACCGCATAAGTTATCATGCCATCAATATCCTGGCCGCCTTTTTGTATTTATACATGTACGTGACTTGCCCCTCTGGATAACTCATCACTGAGTCCTTTTGCCTTGGAATGACTGACGAGGTATGAGTTTACTCAGTGTGGCCGCCGCAGCAGCTGTTATGCTCCAAGGGAGAGTGACATTTTTTTTTATTTGGCGGACTGTCGGCTCGCACACCGGGTTAAATTCCCATCTCTTTTTCCAGGTAGTGCCGTGGGAGTGTTTCGCCCACAAAATAGACAGTCAATTCACTTCACAGTGTATCCCGTGAAGCGCTTCGAGACGTCTCGAAGACGTGACAAAGGCGCTGCGGCAAATGCGGGGATTATTATTACCTTTGGCAGATAGATGGGGAGCTCAGTGTCAGTCTCAGGGTGGAGGGGCTGCAAGGATCGGCGGGAGATCACCCGCGCTATTTATCCTCCTCTCCCCTGCCCCACGGATAGGAATTTATCCTCTTCACATTGTGGTTAAGGTGAAGAGTGGGGTTGACGTGCCCGGCCGCCATGGTCCTATCCGCTTTTTTTCCCCCAACAACTCCCACCTTCTCCTCTTATAATATACCAACCGTCTCTCTCTCTCTCTCTCTCGCCCCCTTTAATACAATGGCTCCTTCTCGTGATGTTTTAGCTGCGGAAATAAGAACAAAGGCGGCGTATAAAGGCCCAGGGAGCGGGTCTCACGCGGCTCCGCCCGCACCTGCCCCGTCGTCCATTTGCTGCTCGAAGTCCGCGCGCGAAGAGAAGCAGTCCGGCGGCGACGGGGAGAGGCCCCGCGTGCGCATGCGCCCCCCTAACTCACCCCCTGCGGCGGTTGGCGGTTTTTTTCAAAAATATTTAAAAGCGCTTCGCGGGACCCCCCCCCCCCACACACCGCCACCAGGCGCATGCGCGCTTTGCCAAAGCGGCAGGCGACCGTTGGGAGTCACGGGGTTGTCTGTTTTTTGGCGCGCAGCGGAGGCCGCTCCCGCGCCCGCACTGCAGCCGCCTCCAGCGCACGGGAGGCCTCGGGGCGCCGTCGCACCGCAGCCTTCCTCCTGCCTGTCCTCCCGTCGCCTCGATTAATATTCAGTGGGCAAACGAGGAGCCGTCGTGGAGAGCTTCGTCGACTTCGTGAACTTTTGCTTTATAAACCCCTATTTGTTTTCACTTTTTTGTTCCCCTCCCCCCCCAAAAAAAACTTTATTTTGAGGTGAAAGGTGCGGAATAAATGCAATTTTGTAAATATATATATATATATAAGCACATTGAGTATATTTCTCCCCCCTCCTCATCCCCCTCTCGTTGCCTCAAAGGAAACCCGCCGACTGTGGCAGGTAAAGGTCAAGGTGTACGGGTAAAGGTGCGTTTTTTTAAAAAAATATATATATGTATATAAAAGTGCTGCAAAAATCGTCTGGTGCCAAACACACAGTCACTACACTTCACGATGAAATCCTGAAATTTGACGTTTTGAGACGTCAAAGCAATAGCCACTATAACAAGTGTGAGTGTAATAGATATAGGTATAGATAGATAAACTCCTGATAACTCGACCCTCAGCTTAACTCGTCAGCACCACTTAATAATTCCTTCAAAAAAATAATAATTTGGTCACTTCAATCCACGGCTGTGTGTGGGACGCTGCTGTGCGCAATTGGCTGCCGCGTTTCGCCCACAAATATACAGTCGCTTCACTTTACAGTATATTCTGTGAAGCGCTTTGAGACGTCTCGAAGACGTGATCAGGCGCAGTATCAAACCAAGAATTATTATTAAGTCATCACTCTGTCAATATTACAGCCGCATTTATTTTATGTACTCAGTCCAAACTTGCAGCTCCTGGTAACTTTTTCAACGAGCGCTGGGTCTGCTGTGTGTATACAGTATATTTCGCTAATATATATATTTTATGGGTACATATTTTCTGCAATTATTCAAATTCAATTCTTTCGCAGTTTGTCTTTTGTGCAGTGTTGGTGCCTGACTGTTGTCATATGCTATTTTGGGCTCTCTACAGCTCATTGGGTCAAGGGATAATTGTCATGTTGTCAGCTCAGTTACTACAATCAATGTGAACACCTTTTTACTCCGAACCGCAATAAGAGAGACAGACAGACAGACAGAAATTGTTCTCATATATGTTTACAGGCTATGCAGATGATAGAATTGTACCTGGTTTATTTCAACAACAACAACTTGGATTTATATAGCGCCCTCCACGCCGGACGGCGTCTCAGAGCTCTTTACAGTTTCGGAGCCGGGGGGGGGTGTGGGGGGTGGAAGGTGACCAAAGGAGCCGTCGAAAAGAAAGGTCTTCAGCAGAGACCTGAAAATGGGAAGGGAGGGAGCGAGATGAATTATAATAATTATTATAATTATTTCATAATTGAATGACAAAAAACAGCCAGTTAAAACCTTCCCAAAAGTGGAATAAACTCTGTATTCCAATGCGTACTGTGTTAAGGTGGAAACGTAACCCATTGCAGAGGCACATACAATACATCTGTATTCTCTGTATTCTGTTGCTATGGGTGGGTGGAAGCATCAATACTCATGACGCTCTCTGCCTGTGTACCAATTGCCCTTCCCATTTTGGGTAAGTAATGTCTTTTCAGATATGTTTGTGATGTATTGTAAAAGTGGTGGCAAGGTCTGTTTGAACGACCTGATTTCTTTGCATATTCACCCCCAGCGTAACTCAACTTTAGTCTGCAGCTATATATACCCAACACCCTTGTATGTTAGAGAGCTGTTTAAAAGGCCCAGTAGATTGTTGAAATAGCATTTTGTCATGTTCTTTGATCTTTCCCCGAATTTCTCCTGCACATTTTTGGGGACAAAGGTTTGTTGTGAAAGAGAAAGAAGGTCTTTCTCATGAAAAAAAAGTATGAGATAGAGTTTGTCTCAACTAAAATTATCCACAATTATATCACTTCGGTTGGAAAGTGAGATTCGCTTTGTTTAAGATACTTAAGATGAGGAAGTAGCTGACTACATTTCTTCTTGATAGTGAACCTGTGGAGCAGCCTCTCCAGGAAGATGGTTGAAACAGAAAATGTTGATTCTTCAAACAGAGATTAGGTAGTTTTCTTTTAGGAAATAAGATTATGGATATAGTACATAGGTAGTTCGGGACATATGTATATGTGACCGCCAGGAAGATGGAAGGCAAAGTAGATGGACAAGAGACAAAACTTTTCGTCTAGCATTTCTTATGTTCCTTCTCCACCTCTGCCAAAAGCTGTCCACCAGACATCCAGGAATCTACTTTAGAATGTATTGCAGGCTACATATCTTGCACTCTTAATAATAATTTGTATTTTTAATGCTCTAGCAATTGAAATGGAGAATAGAGCTCGGCTCCAACCATCTTCTAGTTATTACTCTCCATACACTCGTTGGTCCTTACCTCGGCTGCCGGAGTCACCTATACCATTGGTTCCCGATATTGAAAGGACCGGTGTTGAGTGGTTTGATATGACAATGTTTGAAATTGTGGATGCAGGTAATTTCAACTAATACTATTTAAAAACTGCTCTTAAAAAAGACGATCATCTGTTCCAACAACTTTCTCTTCCATTGTTCAGTTCAAAACAGGGACCAAGGTGTGCCATCCTCACCACTCAGTGATACTACTGAGATTGCCCTGAATTCTCAGGAAACAGGTAAGCTTAAAACAATTCATTCTCTTCTGCCATTGCTCTCAGATGCCCTGCGACTCACACTATTGCCCAGCACAGAGGCTGACGAGTGATTTGCCTAGATCTAACCCTGTGGCGCTATGTAGGAGTGATCTGGATGGAAAGGAGGTCTGAATTTTCTGTGGCTTTCTTTTCTCATCCTACCTTCACCTGCATTTAACCAAACATTGGTGGAGACATTATAACACCATGTTGAATGCTCCTTACTTCATTTGTTTAGGACCATGATGTTGATGTTAACCAATGTGATATACAATACTTGGAATTATATATATTCTGTTCCAGATGCAGGAATGTCCATCTGTAGGTGAAATGCATGGAACTCTTGTCTGGTTGGGATACTCTTAAGCATGGTGATGGGTTTCTGCATGTGTCAGGCCAAAAAAATGTGCTACATAAGCAGATTGATAAAGCATTAAAATATCCCAATACATATTGTTTATGGCTTACATGAAGTTTTTTTGTTGCATTTGCAGATTTTACAGTACCTTCAACCCCTGTGCATTTTAAACTGCAAGACCTGATTTCTGCTGGTGCTGAAGCTGGTGCTCAGACACTATCCCCTCAGGGTAAGAGGCAAAATCTCTCAATACAGTGGATTACTGGTACTTGTTGTCACTTGCAGTTGGCCAGCCAGAATTTGAACAAGAAGTGAAATGGACAAGAATTCATTCCATTGTTTATTAGTTTCCCTTTGAGAAATATTCCAGATGAAATATGCTGGAATTCAGTCAATTATGGCAAATGGAATTCTAGGTTTTATATATAAGGCCATCGCACACAAGAACACCACTGAAGTCATGTTGAATTTGTACATGATGTTGGCTTGGCCACAGCTAAATGTATGGTGTTTTTAGTATCCGATTCTGTAATATATAATAATAATAATCCTTGCATTTGATATAGCGCTTTTCACGTCTTCTAGACGTCTCAAAGCGCTTCTCAGAATAGACTGTAAAGTGCTGTAATATGCATTTGATTGCAATTGATATAACACCTTATCACGTTGTTCAGACTTCTCAAACCGCCTCACAGAATATATTGTAAAGTGAATTGACTATTTTGAGAGCAAAGGGATATCACAGCTATGGAGAGGGTGCAATGAGCTCACATATCATGATGCGGATGAAGTACAACAACAAACTTACTTAAATGTCAGCAGCAATTTATTTCTGTAACATCTCAAAACTACAATAAGCACTTAAATACTTTAAGTGCTCAATTATAATTGTATATGCAAGTCAAAATCAATCGATTTGCCACATCTTTCTATTCTTTCTCCCCATTTCCATTTCTAATATTTGAACTTTAATTCTGCTTTTCCTATCTGATTTATTTTGACTCCAGTGGCACAGTTTATTGGGATTGGTATTTCTGCATTGGTATTGGTTTACATCGAGTCCTGGACGAGAGACAACTTTCTTCAGCTCAACGTGCGCAAAACTGAGGCCCTCCTGATTGGCTCACGTCAGCGCCTCCGCACCTCAGGCACTGACAGCATCAGCATCCAAGGCCGCACTCTCCATCTCTCAAAGCCATCAGGAACCTCGGGGTTCTGTTCGACCCTGAGCTGTCCTTTCTTCCGCATATCCGCGCCACAACTGGCACCGCCTTCCATCACCTCTGGAACATCGCCAGACTACGGCACTAGTCTCACGCTGCTGAAACTCTGGTCCACGCCTTTATCACCTCAAGGCTGGACTATGGGAACTCTCTCCTCGCGGCCTTCCCGGCCCTCCCTCCACACTGCAGGTCATTCAGAACTCTGCAGCTCGTGTACTGTCCCGCACCAGGCTTCGCGACTACATCACTCCCACCCTCGCTCGCCTCCACTGGCTCCCCATCCCCCAGAGGGTCGAATTCAAGATCCTCATCCTCACCTACAAGGCCATTCACGGCCTCGCTCCCTCCTACCTCTCCGACCTACTATCCCCCTACCTACCTGCCCGTACTCTCCGTTCCTCCGGCTCCGGTCTGCTCCACATCCCCCGCCCCAACCGCCCTACCATCGGTGGCCGGGCCTTCAGCCTCTCAGCCCCGAGGCTCTGGAACTCCATCCCCCAGTGCCTTCGCCGCTTCCTCCCTTTCCTCCTTCAAGGCCGGTCTCAAGACCTTTCTCTTTGACCGTCCCTTCAGCTCCCCTCTCGCCTCTCTACCCCCTCCTCGCTTCCTCCCTTCCCTCACCCTGATCATTTCCCCCCTGCTCGGGTCCTGACCAAACTGTCCAGCGCCTTGGGACGTCCTCCCAATGTGAAAGGTGCTCTATAAATGGAATCTTGTTGTTGTTGTTTATTGTGCTGTAGCTCAGTGTTTACAGCACTCTCCGCGCAAGCGAGAGACCTGGGTTCAATTCCCGGCAGGGCAAAACGTTGGGCAAGTTTCCTTACTCCACATGCCTGATAATAATCCCTCAAGAAAATAAATAAAATAAAAAATAATTTGGTCACTTAATCCACGACTGTTTGTGGGACAATTGGCTGCCGAGTTTCACCCACAAATGTACAGTCAATTCACTTTACAGTATATTCAGTGAGGCGCTTTGAGACGTCAAGAAGTAAAAAGCGCTATATCAAATGCAAGGATTATTATTCATTTAATAATTGTCAGCTTTTCTGAGGTTGGAGGATGTAACTCAAAATGACATCTATAGATAGTGTCTCTCTCTCTTATTTGAGAGTTAGGGGATCTCACCAGTTAACTTTGTTGGCCATTTCTTTCTAACGTATTTATTTATCCCTCTGCTTAGTAGTTCAGATTGTGCCCTTCTTAGACAAGAAGTCTCCGAAGATTACCACAGGCCAGAAAGTTACAAGAAAGCAGAATATTGTGAAGAAGCATGTGTGTTGAAATTTTGTAAACCTAAAATAATTCCTTTAACAGACATTGCCTGTAGAATTCTTAGCATATTTGTACCAGTCTATAAGGTACTAATATAGCTCAAGCACCCTGCGACGCTGCCCTGTGTGAGGGGTGCTATATAAATGCAAGTTGTGGTTGTTATAGCTGTTGCACAGTTATGTAAACTGTGATTATAATTATATTTATTACATCTAATACATATGAGATAGTTCCGTGAACAAACTGCCAGGAAAGACCAGTCTACAAATCATATATCTAATACTGCCATCTTCGGTGCTGTAAAAACAATTGTAAATCAGAGTGATCCTAGTCGCTTCATCCACCCTTCCAAGTAACTTCATTCCCCAGCATATACCAAGTTATTCTGCTGTGTGCTACCCTGTCCCTTCATTTCATATCTCTCTGTCTGTCTGCCTGTCTGTCTCATTGGCCAATGTCAAATGACCTACTTATTGACAAAATAATTGACTTGGGAAAATTACTTGAATATGAATAATTCAGAATTCAATGTTAAAAATGTATTTGTATGTTCTCGGCGATTTGCAATTTAAAGACAACATTCAACACCTGTCGGCAACGTTATAACACTGGTGGTAATAGCTGCATAAGCAGCTATTGTGATGTTGCAAACGTTATAGCAACGCACACCTGTCTAGTGCTGAGATTACTCAAAACCCACAGCCTTCAGCAAGAGGAAGGTCACAGATTTTACAAAAGAAAAGAACATTTTTCAAAGGGAACATTCAGAACAGGCAGATTCCAAGTCCTGCAGCTGCTAGAAAAGAAAGCTCTAATGAGACACTGGAAATCTCAAGTGCGGAATTATTCATTTCATCTTTATTAATAACTTAAGATTCAGTACATTTGGACCCAAACCAAACTTGTGTGTGGTGGTTTTACCATTTTAAATAAAATGCAGTGTGTGTCTATACAATGCCTATGTCTTGTCTATGGCACTTTACAGTATATTCTGTGATTTGATTTGAGATGTTTCAGTGATATGCATAGGCATATAATAGTATATACAAGGATTATTATTATTATGCCATGTGACTGCCTCTTACAGCTGTAAACCTGAATCTAATATCTTATTCTTTGTATTCATGTGGCTTATAGCCAAACATTTGACAGCTGGTGGCTACAAAATCAAACGCACCACACATGAGTTACAGTAAGTATTACTGCAATTGACGTGCAGTGTTATTTTTTCTGTTAGTTGTCCAACTTAGCAAGATCAGGTTCTGTCCCGTTACACCAGGTTAACATAACATTTAAAATTATCTGAAGTTAATTATATATAAAAGAAATGACAAGAGCTTGTGTTGCTGTTGTACATTCTCCCTGAATTTGCTTCCCAGGTTTCTTTGTCCTTCCCAGAATGATAAAAGGCATTTGGGAATGCAAATGAACTAAGGAAAATGTTTAAGGTACACAATCATACTAGAGTTGGAAAGAGCTTTACATTTTAAGAACAAGGGGGCAGAATCTTAAAATTAGGCCATTTAGGAGTGAAATCGGGGGCAGTTTTTCACCCAAAGGAGAGTGGAAATCAGGAAATCTTCCTCCCCCCAAAAGGCTGTGGATTATGGCTGGATGCGTTCACATTTTCAAGATTGAGATGGATTGATATTTGTTGGTCAGGTATCAAGAGATATGTGGCAAGGGCAGGTAATTAGAGTGGAGTTCAGCCATGATCTTGTAGACTGGTGGAACAAGCTTGAGGGGCTGAATGACCTCCTGTTTCTATGTTGGAAACACCCAGTTGCAGAATTCTTCCTGTCTTGGCTTCGGTGAATTTTGTTTCTATCCCCAACGCAGGCGCCAACCAACCCAACGTTCATTCTTGAACGGTAAAGAAGGTATGGCATGTACAGGTTACCATGGCAACGAACGTGGCAAATTCTGTAAAATCTATCTCCAAATCACCATTTTCATCCAGGTCTTGCATGAGGATATCCAGTGTTTCCTGGTCAGTTATTTTCTTACCATTGAAGGAAAGACAGAAAGTATTAAATATCAAGGACCACTGTAGATTTTTTTGGAAATCAAATTTACATTCAAAAGGTAGCTAGCCCATTGATAACAATAATAATAATCCTTGCATTTGATATACAATACAAAACAAAATTACATTTGTATAACACCTTTCACATCGGGTGAATGTCCCAAGGTGCTGGACAGTCAGGGATTTGGACCTGAACAGAGTATGGGTTAGGATAAGGGAGGGTGGATATAGCGCCTTATCTCATCTTCGAGATGTCTCAAAGCCCTTCAGAGTATATACTGTAAAGTGAATTGACTGTATTTTGTGGGCGAAACACAGCAACAGCAGTGTCCCACAAACAGTCATGGATTGAGTGACCAAATTATTATTTTTTTTGAATTGATTATTACCCCCGGAAAGCGATCCATCAATCAACTAATAACCGGGTTCCTACTCACTCGTAGGTAAAAAGAGATATGTGGAGTAAGGAAACTTGCCTAAAGTTTTGCTCCACCCAGGAATAGACCCCGGGTCCTCTTGCTTTCCAAGGCGAGCGCACTAACCAATACACTTCAGGACTCCACAGTAGAATACTCTAGTATTGAGTCTGGAGTTCAGATCAATGAGTTGGCAATAATCATCATCATCAGCTTAGCGGTTAAAGCACTCGCCTTGCAAGTGAGAGACCTGGGTTCGATTCCTGACAGGACAAAATATTGGGCAAGTTTCCTTACTCCACGCGCCTCTGTTTACCAGCAGTCAGTAGGAACCCGGTTGTTAGTCGATTGGCGGATCGCTTTTCTGGGGGTAATAATTCCTTCAAAACAAAATAATAATAATGACAAATTGGTCAGTTCAACCCACGGCTGTTTGTGCGGCGCTGCTGCGCCCACAAAATATACAGTCAATTCACTTTACAGTGTAACCTGTGAATTGTCAAATGCAAGGATTATTATTATCATCAAATTCAGACGGTGTGATAAGGCAAAAGCAAAACATTATTATTTATTAAAACTGAATGGGGTGGAGGGGGAAACAGCGGCAAATAACAAGTTTACATTCAGGATTGGCAAACATGAATGGCATAAATGGCGCCCCCCACCCCACACCCCACACAATGACTGGAGCTTGCTCTGCGCCAATCCACCAGCTACAGTGTTCAAAACAAAGCACTACTGACCTCTCGTGGCAATCAATGCTGCCACACCGTGTGTGTGTGTGTGTGTGTGTGTGTGAATGCTTTGGGGATGAGTGGACCTGTCTTCTTCAGTTGCTTTTGTGCTAATTACAAGCAGTGAGATTTAATCTCTTCTGTTCTCTACAAAAAATGTATTTGGAGCTAAAACCGGTTTCATCACTGGTGTCTCGTTTGAACACTGAAGGTGGGTCTAGAGGGATCGGGGTTGGAATTCAATCTGTGGTTTGTGCCCATTGAGATGGTTCCCCCTATAGTAGCTGATAAAATGAATGTCATATCATCCTCCTTGTGTGTGACGGGGGTGGGTGGGGGGAGGAGAAAGAGGGTTGTCATGCATCTGAGAAGGCATAGCTGGCAAAGTCCAAGGTCCATAGGTCCAAGGCAGACTTGGAGATATAGACATATCCTCAACTGTGCAAGTCAGGTTCTAACCGGTAGAATGGCCTCAATTGGCTAAACACATGTATGTTAACCTATTTCACCAGGGTCCAATTGATTTGCAAACATAAATTTTGGTGAAATTCTGGAATGTACCATAAAAACTGGAAATGTGACCATTTGGCTTTGAGACACTGCCCTGCGTGAAGGGCACTATATTAATGCAAGTTGTTGTTATAAAGAGCAAAGCACTGCCAATATGTGTCACTGGACGAAGAGGGGATTTTGTCTCCCAACTGTCTCTAAATCCTACCTCAATGAAACGAGATAACTCATTGTTGACGAGTTCCTTCACTTGAGCTTTCTTGAGTTTTCCTGTGGTAGATCCCGAGTACTTGTGAAAGATTTTCATAATTGAAATCAATGCGTTCTCCAACTCGGACATCCTGCACTGGGATTTGTTCTCTGCAGAGAAAAGGAGTGCTTTGGGAAACAAATTTGACAACAGTGACGCCATGAATAACTGAGTGTTTTAATGCCAATGCTGGGAGTCAGTATCACTGTCAGTATTAGGTACTGTGTGTATCTCCCACAGAGATAATAATAATAAAAATAATCCATACATTTGATACAGCGCCTTATCACGTCTTCGCGATGTCTCAAAGCGCTTCACAGAATATATTGCAAAGTGAATTGACTGTATATTTGTGGGGGAATCGCGACAGCTAATTGTGCACAGCAATGTCCCACAAACATTGAGTGACCAAATTTTTTTTAAGGGATTATTACCCCTGGAGAAACGATCTGCCAATCGACTAACAACCAGGTTCTTACTTATTGCTAGGTAAACAGAGGCATGTGGAGTAAGGAGACCTGCCCAACGTTTCACCCTGCCGGGAATCAACAACAACAACTTGGATTTATACAGCGCCCTCCACGCCGGACGGCTTCTCAGAGCGCTTCACAGTAACGGATCCCAGGGCCGAGCCGGGGGGATGGGGAGGAAGGTGACCAAAGGCGCGGTCAAAAAGAAGCTGAGTCCTCTCACTTGCAAGGCGAGCTCTCTAACAACTATGTTACAGGACTCCAATAATGAACACACTGAGTCCTCAGAACAGGAGGTGAAAAAACCAGGGAATGCTCGAACAAATACAAACGGGAGGTGAGTGCTCTAACCATTAAGCTACAGGACTCCACAGATAACAACATAAGAATTTGCTCAGCGAAAGAGGACCAAGGTCCATCCAGTTCTCCCTCCCCCATCCCGGCTGTCGTATGACAAGTCGTGTCCCAAACTGTATCCCGAGATATTATTTCCTAGCAGAAATCTGTCTAATTTATTCTTGAAAGAATCAACACTTTCTGCTTTCACCAGATTTAAAATACATTCTACCAACCCCAACCCCCCAATAGTGTGGGTTAATCACAACCTCAGAAATGGTTATTATACATTTGTCAGTGACGTTTTAATTTCCCACATCAATGGACATAAATAAAATAGCTTTATTATACTTTTTCCTAATGAGCAGAATAATAAACACCCAGATTTGGGGCCATATTTAGTTAAAAGGCTACAACAGTCCTTTCTCCCCCACATCCGTGCCATGACCTGCTCTGCCACCCCCCACCTCCGCAACATTGCCCGGCTCCACCACTGCCTCACCCCTCAGGCGCCGAAACCTTCATACATGCCTTCATTGCAACCCTTGCCTTCTTCAAGGCATGTCTCAAGACCCTCCTCTTTGACCATGCCTTCGGCCACCCTCCTTCCCTCACTGCCCTCCACTCTCCCTGATCCTTCCCGCTTGGGTCCTGATCCCTGACCAGTCAGTGCCTTGGGACGTTCTCCCGTCATGAAAGATAATTTTGTATTGTATAAAATATTCTTCATTGCAGCTGTGTTATTATCCTGAACCCTTTGCCAACCAAGTTTCCTTTTGAAGGTACAATTTATACTTCAAGATTACTATATTTACTTGGAGAATTTATATTTCATTTATATTTATTTCATTTATGTTTATATTTAATTTATATTTACATTACATTTATATTTCAGCATCTTAAGACATCCTCCCGATGTGAAAGGCGCTGAACAAATATCATTTGTTGTTGTTGTTGAGTAGTGCGCACTGCAGAAATTAATATAAACTTTGTTCCTTTTCTTTAGTATCACGAAAAAATAGCAACTCTCATCCTTCACTATATTTAATCATAAAATCTAGGATTTTACAGAGGAGGTCTTTGTCCTTCTTATGTGCCACAACCTCTGAAAGAGCTATCGTTTTACTCCTCTTCCTGCCTCTGTCCACACCCTTTTACATCTTTCTTTTTAAATCTATAAATATAAATATCCACAGCTGTTTGCAGGGACACTGCTGTGTGCAATTGGCTACCACATTTCGCCCACAAAATACAGTCACTAAACGTTCCAGTATAGTCTATTCAGCGCTTTGCGACATTTCAACGATGTGATCAGAAGCTCTATCAAATGCAAGGAATGTTATCATTATTATTTACCATTTACTCAAGAGAAAAGCTTACACAAGTCCTGAAAGTTTCAATATTGAATTCAATGTTTTCTTATTTCCAACATTAAAGTTTGGATGCACTTTTTCCTTTTAGGCTGAAGGTTTACCCCTCACCTCACCTCGTCTCGTCTCTGCTCCAGGGCTCCCCTTCACTTGATGCTTGAGCGAAACAAGTTTCTTTTGACTCCTTTTGACGACCGAGATTCTGAACATGCTCAGGCTGGTCACACACACACAATCACGTCCATTGGTCCATTCAGAGGGGTTGACATCACCGTTAGCGCATAATCCAGGCCCTGAGCACCAGTTGGGTGGGGCACAGGTCCCAAAATTGCCTTTGATTTGATCTTAATATTGACCGTTTAATGCACCACTCAGTGTGAAAGCCAAATGTGGGCGACTAACTGGCACTCCGAGCAATCAGAAGGCCTTAAGTGCTGTTCTGAGCTGTGCCTTTATCCGCTGGGCTATTATGAGAAGCTGGAAAGTCTTCCTATGAAGTTAAACTCATTACATTTGTGGCTAATTTAACCACGTAGTCTTACTTTGGAAATACTCAATATATCCCATTTTGTATAATGCCTACAATGTACTGCAGAGCTGCTCGGCTGATTTTTATATTATTATTATTTCATAGAATAGAATCTTACAGCACAGGAGGCACTTCAGCCCATCGTGCCTGTGCCAACTAATCCCAACTCCTTGCATTTGATGCAGCGCCTTACCACGTCTTTGAGACGTCTCAAAGCACTTCGCAGAATATACTGTAAAGTGAACCGACTGTATATTGTGTGGGTGAAACGCGGCAGCCAATCGCGTACAGCAGCATCCCACAAACAGTTGTGGATACAGCGACCAAATTATTATTAATTTTTTATTTTGAAGGAATTATTACCCCCGGAAAACAATCCGCCAAACAACTAATGGGTTCCTACTTACTGCTGGTAAACAGAGGTGTGTGAAGTAAGGAAACTTGCCTCAAGGTTCACCCGCCCAGGAATCGAACCTGGGTTCTCTTGCTTGCGAGACAAATGCTCTTACTTGCTCTACAGGACTCCACTAATGAACACACTGAGCCCTCAGACACCTGAACAGGAGGTGAAAATACCCAGGGAATGATCAAAGCTAAAAACAAATACAACCGGGAAACAGGCAGGAAGTGGAGCTGTGATGTTTTACCTTTATTGATTAGATAGCAAGGCGATATGTATACGCGTACAACTATTAAACGGATTACTTCAAAGGCAGGAATCGTGACCTCCTTAAATCAAGAACCGTTGTGGTTTTAACGTGCAAAAATGGCAGCATCTTTTTAAACATATATTCCAGAAAGGTCACTGTAATAGCACGGTTCAGCTCGGTTTGAGCAGAAATAGTCCTGAACCACACCATTACCGCAACCACGTACAGTTTCACCGTTCACTTTGGCAAACACAAGGCATTTGTAATGCAAGCACAGATGGTTGCTTTATATATTTATATATATAGTTTTTTTAAAAAAAGCAAAAAAAGGAACTTTTTTATCCGACCGACATATTATAAAATATTTTTTTTAAAAAAGCAGGCGCTGTGTGTGTGTGCGTGTGTGGAAGGGGGGGGGGAAGAGAGGGGGAAAACTATATTCCTTGCGACCTTTCACTCGCCTTATTTAATTGCGAGATCCTAACGTAAACATAGTGAAGCGCTTGCTCTTTTTAAGCCAGAGTGGTCCAACCTTTTGGCTGCTGAGGGCCGGATGCCATGTTTGAAAAACCGCGGGCTGCAAAAGCAACATTTTGGTGTTTCTCTTTCAGAAACATAACAACATTTACAGGTTATGGAGGGTGGGGGCGGGGGAATGGCAGATGAAATGTAGAGGGGGGGGGGGGCGGATGCGGCCCATGGGCCGCCAGTTGGACCACCCTGTAAAATCTAAGCGATGGGGAGAACTCGTCCCCGGTGTAATCCGCACTCACTACTAATTCATTTCTGTTCTCGTGGCAATAATTGTGAGCAAAGCGCAGTAACGTTTAAGCGATGTGAATACAAGGCACTGGTTGAGTTGGTTGAAGCTGTGGAGCGCAGCGGAGTTTGGGGTTCAGTTTCTTTTGATTGGCAACAATCCCACAATCAATCAACTTCACACAGACAACAGGCAACGCTACTGTTAAACCTCAGTATAAGACGCCTGTAGCAATGTACTGCTGGAACTTTATCCACTGTCACCGTGTCCTGAAGGTTCAGAAATCACACTACTCTCTGGTGCATTCACAATTTTCCTCGTTATAAACCTACACGTAATCTACTGCCCTCTGGATGCAACCCTGCGTGAGCAGCGCTATATAATAATAATAATCCTTGTATTCCTTCTAGCCCCATATCACGTCTTTGAGACGTCTCAAAGCGCTTCCCAGAATATCCTGTCAAGTAAATTGACTGTATATTTTGTGAGCAAATGCAAGTTGTTGTTGTTGTTGCCGCCCATTCTCACTGACACTGAGTGCACATCCCTCCCTCAAGGTGGTCTGATTATCACGGGGCTGTTCTCACAATCGCCCCCCCATCCCCCTCCCCAACTTCGTGGCTTCATTCAGTCAAAGCACCAAAGCCGGGTTTGTAACCCCCGCACTCGCTGTGACTGACGTCCTTTAAATTACTCTGTACATTCTTTTTTGGCGGCTGTTCATAAACGACAAAACGCACTTTAAATAAGTTGATTAATAGTAATAATAAACTATTGCCATCGCAAGTGAAGCGTTTCTACAAGGCCCGGCATTACTGGGTCTCTCGAGCTATCAGGCTCCCACGCCCGGGAAGCCAGTTTGCCTGCGTTTTGGGAGGTTTAATTTGGTCACATTTGGTTGGTCCCTCACTTTATACTGAGGGGTCTCCTGCCGTGGGTCTAGACCAACACTTAACCCCCCCGCAAAAACTCTGCACCAACCTCCACCGCCCCCCTCCTCTGATGGAGTGTATTCCCCCCTACACTAGTCTGAGATATCACAGCTGTCTCTTGCCTGAACAACCTGCGGGTGTGGAGTGTGGCGCCTGAGAGGCCGGTGGGAGCGGATTCAATCAGAACTTTCAAAAGGGAATTGGAGAGGTCCTTGAAAAGAAAACGTGTCTGGCAAGGTTATGGGGAAAGTGCAGTGGAGTGAGACTAGTTGGTGGCACAGGCACCATGGGCCGAATGGCCTCCTTCTGTGCTGTAAGATTCTATGTTTCTATGAATTTGCGCTGCGATCGCAACTGGATTGCAACACTGTGCATCGCAGGCTCCGTCAGAGAGACGGACAGAGAGAAAGCATCAACATGGTTAAGAGGAACAAGAGCTGGATGCACACACGAGGGTGAAGGGAAGCGAGGAGTGTAAGAGAGGGGATTAGGAGGTGGGAGGAGGCTCACAGTTGGGCTGAGTAGCTTGGATCTATTTAACCTTCCATTTAATGTGTGGGAACCTGGTTCAAACCCGGGTCCCAATAGGTCCCTTATAACAAAAAAATCAAATAAAAAATTGGAAGCAGAAAGTGTGGTTTGTTTCAAGAACAAATGATAGGGATATCTGTTAGAAAAAAATATCTTGGAATACGGTGTATAGTCTGGGACACGGAAGGAGAACTGGATGGACCTCGGTTTCCTTTCGCCAGCAAATTCTTATGTTCCTAAAACAGCAAAATCTCTCTAAATCAATGCTACAATCAAATCAATTCAAATCAAGAGGAAAAAAAGAAACGGGCGACTTATTCCGCACAGTTCCCACACATTACGTTTCATTCAAGTATTGCCACGCGGAACTTCAGTTACAGAAACATGACGGGGAATCCTTTTCTTCGTGCGTGTGTGTGAATTAAAAAGCAGCAAAAAAAGTCATGTGAAAAGTGATCGGGGCAATTGAACACAAAACCTCATCCAAACATCTCAAGATAATACTGTGCTCCAAAGTGATGTGAAATACTTTGGACGATAGGAATAAAACGTGATCTTTTTTTAAAAAAGAAAAAGAAAGGAAACTGGACTCTTTTGAGTCGATTAAAAAGGCCACTGGAAACCGCCCGCTCAGTCTATCTATTCCTCCTTCAAATCGAACCTGTAAAATAAGGAGACTTCTCTGTTAACGAGCCGTGGCTTCAGGGAAAAAACGCAACTTGTATTTGTTTTGAGAAAGTGGCTGAGGGGGGAGGGGGGGACTGACAATGCTGCACTCCCCCCACTCCCAACGCTGCATTGGAGTATTATTTTGGCTATATGAGCATCATTTTGTCGCTGAGCCGGGCTGACACACACACACACTGAGCCGGGCTGACACACACACACTGAGCCGGGCTGACACACACACACACACACACACACACTGAGCCGGGCTGACACACACACACTCACACACTGAGCCGGGCCGACACACACACACACACACTGAACCGGGCCGACACACACACACTGAACTGGGCCGACATACATACACTGAGCCGGGCTGACACACACACACACACACACACACACTGAGCCGGGCTGACACACACACACACTGAGCCGGGCTGACACACACACACACACACACACACTGAGCCGGGCTGACACACACACACTGAGCCAGGCCGACACACACACACACACACACACTGAGCCGGGCTGAGACACACTCATGTCACTTACCACTGTGTTATATCCTGAGTCAAGTCGATGAGTGCCAGGCTGACGTGGAGCTGGGGGAAAAGCAGAGGAATTATTGGCAAGTGAATAACCTTCTTATTCCCCAACCCACTCCCCGCTGCTTTTCACTCGACTGGCTCTGGCGTCCTGCTTGTCCCTCGTGCCCTTCCGCTGTCTTTACACACACATACACTGTTCCCTGAAGAAAACCGCTCACTCACTTCATGGCTGTTTGCGAGGACATCGCTCGCTGTGCGCAAATCAGCTGCTGCATTCGCCCACATAATACACGGTCACTACACTTTGTGAATCGTGCAAAGCACTTTGAGACGTCCTCCTGATGTGAAAGGCTACCGTGTCAGACGCAAGGATTATTATTATTATTGTTATTATATTAAAAAAAATTCATAGAATGTTACGGCACAGAAGGAGGCCATTCGGCCCATCGAGTCGGTGCGGCTCTTTGACAGCGTCACTTTCACTGACCCCAATCACCAGCTTTCTCCCCATAACCCCACAAACCCGTCTTCCCCGATACCTGTCCAGTTCTCTCTTAAAAGCTGTTATCGAATCGGACTTCACTGCCCTTTCGGGCGGATCATTCCGAATTCGAACAACTCACTGAGTGAAAACATTTCTTCTAACCTCTCCTCTGCTTCTTTTGGTAGATATCTTAAGACTGTGACCACGAGTCACAGACACACCTACCAACAGAAACAGTTTTTCCCTATCTCGCCTGTCGAAACCTTTCATGATCTTGAAGACCTCTATCAGGTCCCCACGTAACCTTCTCTGCTCTAATGGGAAAAGTCCTAACTTCTCCACTGTCCTCATAGCTAAGGTTCCCCATTCCTGGTATCATTCTCGTGAATCTTCTCTGCACCTTTTCCAGTGCCTTAATGTCCTTCCTGAGGTACGGTGCCCAGAACTGGACGCAGTACTCCAGTTGAGGCCTAACCAATGTTTTGTACAGATTGACCATAACCCCTACTCTTATACTCTATGCCCCTACTAATGAAGCTCAGTACACCAAATGCCTTTTTTCTGCCTTATCTACCTGCCCCACTACCTTTAATGATTCGCTTACTTGAACACCCAGATCTCTCTGTACGTTCACCCCCCTTAAGATTGAGCTACCAAGTCTATATTGCCTCCTATCATTTTTCCTACCTAAGTGTATCACCTCACACTTATCCACATAAATGTAGGTTTCAAATATCTCCCTCTTTTAAAAAAGACTCAAGGTATTTTTGGAGGATTGTTGCCCAGGGGAGAGAGAGAGAGAAACTCCCTTTTCTTTTCGAATAGCGCTGCAGGAGATCTGAGCAAGTATAGACAGGTGAGCTCGGTTTAACGTCTCATGTGAAGGACAGCGCTTTCGCCAATGAAACCCCCCCCAGCGCTGCATTGGAGCATCAGCTTAGACTATGTGATTCCAAGAACCTGATGTGGGATTTATGTCAGCCCGGCTACTGAGTGTGTGTGTGTGTGTGTCAGCCCGGCTCAGTGTGTGTGTGTGTGTGTGTGTGTCAGCCCGGCTCAGTGTGTGTGTGTGTCAGCCCGGCTCACTATGTGTGTGTCAGGCCGACTCAGTACTTCTGACTCAAGAGATGAGAGCACTACCACTAAACCTGGCTGACACACACACACACACACACACACGTGGATGGTGCAGTGAGGCTGGGCTGGTTAGCCATCTCCTGTGCT